TTCCTTTGGGACCAGAGGAGCTAAGCAAAATCCTAAGAAGAAGTCTCTGGATACATTGATTAAAAGACTCAAAGACGTAAACTGAAATCACAAAAATTCTGTATGTTCAATGTACTGATTGATGTTCATGCTCTAGTTGGTTTATTACTTCATAGTTTTCATTACAAATATAGTCTGCCATTTTTCGTTTGTATTAATCTCATATTTTTGCACATTCTTTCTGTAGTCAATTCTTTAAAGACTTGTTGATCTTTAACTTCTAAATTATTTCTGAGCTTCAATAAGGTATTTGACGAACCTCTATCTTGATGAGTACAAGTTTGACCAAGTAGCTCTGATATTGACTTGATTTTCGCGTTTTATAGAGGTTTTAGATATTATTGGTTGCTTGTGTTTCCACGTGATGATATTTATTTGGTGCCTTGTTTCTCCATTATTTCTTTCTTCATGATTCTCTTTTGACTTGCGCAATGGGACTCAATTCATGATCAGTTGGTTTCTTTCAATTGATGCATGGTATTCATTTTAAGATTTTAGGTTGTTAGTTCGCTGAGTTAGTTCGGTTTGAGATTTATTGATGTCCTGAATAAAACTTCATGTACTTAGACCTTATGTTCTCTTTCTTTTTTGCCACTTTAGAATGAAAATTAAGGAGTTTTGACTGGCAAGATCGATGACTTTGATTGAGGATACCTGAGATTATGTTCCTTTTCCATAGCATGTCCTGAACTACATGTTCCCTACTTTAATTAGGAAAAGGAAGATTATAACTAGAAACTAGTGGAAGAGTCCATTTATTGAATGGTAAGTAGTACAAGTGACTGATCGAGGCCAGAAATAGACCTAGATCAAAATAATCCCACCTTTGAAACACTTTGGTTGTGCTCTTGGATTTCCGGGTCTGATTTTGAACTTTCCTTTCTCATGCACAGCTATGTTTGTTGTATAATTTTCTTTGAATCAACTAGTGATATGTCGAAATAGAATCTTCAAGTGGAGGGGTTTGTTGCACCATAAGATCATGATACAGGCTTCCGAATTGGGAAGCCCAACAATAGTCATATGTAAAGTCACACACCTCATTAAGATCATATTGGCATATACTCAGAATTGGTGAAGAGAATCTATGAGAATGGTTCTTGAACATGGTTCCGATTCAGAAGATCGCTGAATTCACAAGTTTGGTCGAACAAGTGAAGACTAAAGGTGATCTAATTCCATCTTTATTCCTTGTTAGAGGGAGAGAAGCAAACTGCGCATGGACAACTCAACATTCATGACAACTGGATGAAACAGTTGACTGCCAAAAATATATGCAAGAAATATCTGTGCTTACCAGTCATAACTGTCTATATCTATTCAATCCTTTCGATTCTGATAAAAAAAAGCTCATAAAGTGGATTTCTCACCCTAACCCCCATGGCTTGGATAACTACTAATTTTTCCTCTCTGCGCTTGTGCTCTGTGTTTCTGGCAGGGACGAAACTTAGGTTCGGCATTATGATTTTCCAGTGAGTCTTCTTTCTAAGGGGGCAGCAGTGTATTGTTTGAACAGAGCTGAGTGGATACAGTGGAGACTTGTGTACTCTTCTTGAATCAGATGTAAGTTTATATATATATATACCAGTCGTTGCCACGTGCGTTGCACAAATTTTGTATTTATCGTGCTTTTATTAGCGCAAAAATTGTAGATTTTCCAAAACTTGTTGAAGATAATCCATTTTTGGTTAGTTTTCTTAACTGAATATAAGAAATGATGTAATGATTTTCTTTTATCTTAGGTTGTACATGTTTTAGGAGCTTATCTGCAGCTCATTTCTTGTATGTTTCTTATGCTAAAGTGTTTATTTAGTCGTTCCCAAATTCTATTGTTAGTTAAGCTGCTTTCAATTGCAAAAAAAGAAGTAGATTGAGGGATGGAAGCAAGTATTCAACTTTCGTTAAGGAATCAGTAGTACATCTTTTTATATTTGAACCTGAATGTGTTAAACAAATTCTTTTTATTTCTTTGTCTTTTTTTCTCCGCATCATTGTGGAATCATATTTTCCATGATTATTGTAGGTAATGCAAATACAGTATCTTACTTCAAATAAAGGATTAATGATAGAATGAATATAAGTTCCTTTGATACTTCAATAGATGCAACCTGAAAATTTGCATGATACAAATTATAATGATTATTGCAATATTCCTTGGACAATTTAGTTATAGAAAAGATATTGAAGATAACATATTTATCCTTCAAGTATATTCTATCATTGTTACTATTTTGCATACCTTAGATTCTACTTATATATAAGTTTAAGTTGCAATTTCAATTCATGTCTATATTGAAAAGTTGATTTTCAATTGTGAAAATGTTGTTGGTTTTTTAACGAAATGTTTTTATTCTAAAATCCAAATACCTTATAGAATCAAATTACACATTGTTAGCTTTAGGTGATTTTGAATTGTTGTACAAATGCTTCTTCCAATATTTTATTTAAGTAATGATAAATTAGTTATCATCTATTGTTAGCCTTATCTAAGTGTTAATTATTCTATAAATTCTTCTTGTATTAACTGATTTACTTACATAAGTTAGTTGTTCTCTATCATTACATATTTTTACTAACTGATTTATTCAAATAATATATAAATGTTAACTCTATAACTAAACTAATTGCAAATGAAATTAAATGCAGTTGCTACCTTATTGAAGAACAAATAAATCTAAAAAAGATTTGTCTTTATTTGTGCTCACCTTCTATGTCAATCACGTTTAATAATTTATTAATTTTTTCTTCATCTATTTAAAGTTATTATTATTATATATATTTATCTCTTTCTTCCGTTTATCGTCTCTCTCAGTTCTTCTCAACAATTATCTAAAAATCGTGGAGATTGCCAATTGAGAACTACTTGTGAGGGATGTCCAAATACTACTATAACAACTTCAATTATTTAGCCATTTGCACCTAAAAAAATCACTATTATGACGAGAACAAAAACAATACTTCTATATGAGCAGTACGTACTTGAATGAGTCGTAATTGGATTGCCTCTTGAGGCTATTGATACAAGCAGATCAACAACTCGTCGCTTCGTTTGCCACTTGGTGCCGGAATTACTTTGACATAGCACCATATTTGCTTCAATAGACTTCTTAAATTCTTCAAGATGAGCAATAGCTTCCTAACCAAAAATAAGCATCATTGACAGAAGAAAATAAGTATCTCATCTAACGGAAACAACATGCTATAACATAACCAATCGAAGAACCCATGGCATCAACATGAACCCAGTAAAAAAAGTCACCATAAGAGTAGAATCGTATCTCAACAGCTGCTTGCTATGATAATCAGAGGGCCACATTTCATCTACCAAGATGAAATCTTAACCTCTCAACATTGCTGGTGACTATGATCAAAATCATGAGACCTACTTCAACAAGAAAGAGACAATACAAAGTAAACACAGAAACTAATTATGAGCTAATTTGTAAATAACTCCACACATAATGCATTTCAAATTGGTATTTAACAAACAGAAACAAAACCAATTTGCTTTGCAAGACTCCTAGTCATCCGCTCTAATGAGTTTACAGTCAGTTCCCCACACTAAACATGATTTGAAATGTTATAATAAACATGACTTTTTATTTTTTTAGTTTACCTTTGATGTATAATATAAATGTATACATTCATACATAAGAAACAAATAAGAAAATAGCTTAAAAAAAAAAATCTCTCCACACTGTGCGGAGAGATCAATTAATCTAGATTTTGTTCCAAGTTGTATAAAAAATGCATATTTTCCTTTCAACCATTGATTGATTTATTCAAGGTAGTTGAGGAGGTGTATGAATTTAAATATCTCTTTCTACTCCCCTTTTTTCTCGACAAAAAATTTGCTGGTTGTAATGGTCAATAGTGTTTTCTTCGGATTTTTTTTATGGAATTGATTTAGATTTTTTTTTAAGTTGTATAAAAAATGCATATTTTCCTTTCCACCAGAGTGAGTTTGTTGCAAAGTTGAATGAATTATATTTATTTGTTTTGCAGAGAGGTAGTTTTCGCCTTTGGTAAGTAAATATAGATTTTTGATATGAATTGAATGAATGTTGATTCCATTTGATTGTGTAGTTCTACGTCTACAAGATTTTTTTTAGAGGGGTATTATCATTTTGTTTTAATCGTTGCTGAAAGATTAATGATTTTATTTTGTTTTAGGAGGCAGGACAAGAATTATTGCAAAAGATGCTCTAATGGATCACTTGGGTTGGAAAAAGGCCCATGTCTTCAGTCATTCATTCAAGTTGGTGAGTTCTGATTTTGAATTTTTAATGATGTTTGATTTATTTATTTTGATTTTTTATTTTTTTTGTTGTTGAAAGGTAAATAGCGTACATTTCTTGTTTGTGATCCCTGATTTTTAGTGGTGAGATATTCTTTGAACATAAACTATGCAAGCATGCGATTTCAATTGTAAAACCCCAAATTTAAAACCAACCTACTGATAAACAATTCGACTTCGACTTGTTTTAGCTCATTGATGTTATCTCGGTGGTTAGTCAAATAAGTACCATAATTAAATACCCTAGTGAAAAAATATGCTAAAACAATTATCAGTTGTGTGTGGACGTGTTTCTTGTTTAGGTTGTATAATTAATTATTTTCCTAAAAAGTATTGCTTGATCTTAGTTCGGTAAATTGACGTTAATTTGGTAAATTCATTCTTGTTGGAATACTGAGAATGTATTGCTTTAGTGTGATCTTTGATGTTAATTTGACGAATTCATTTTTGTTGAAATACTGAACATTTAGTTTTGCTAATTTTTTTGTGGATATTTAAAAATAATAATTATTTTTTTATTAAACTATTTTCTTGTTTGTTTCTTATGTTGGAATGTATACATATATATTATATATCAAAGGTAAACTAAAAAAAATAAAAAATCAAATAGTTTGAATTTACGAAAACCAAAGAGAATAAAAAAGAAAGAGAAATAGGGAAAATATCTAAGCCCAGTGCGTGCGGAGCATTCGAAGAGTTTGGAGATATCTTGACATTAGTGAAAAACTATGGTGATCTAAAAATATAAAAAACCAAATAGGTAAAACGAAAAAAAAAAAGAAACCAAGAGCTGAGACTTTGGAGAGTTTCTCCAGAGAGTGTAGAGAAACATCTCCAAACTCTTTGGAGAGTTTTTTTCCAAACTCTCTTCAAAAATAGATCAATTGATTTCTCCGCACAGTGCGAAGAGATTTTTTTTTTTTTTTTGCTAAGCTATTTTTTTATTTGTTTTTTATGTAGGAATGTATACATATATATTATATATCAAAGGTAAACTAAAAAAATAAAAAATCAAATGGTTTAAATTTAAGAAAATCAAAGAGAATAAAAAGAAAGAGAAACGTGGAAAAATAATCTAGTTCCGGAGAGTTTGGAGATTGTTTGACATTGGTGAAAAAATATGGTAATATGAAAAAAAAAAAAAAGTTTCTCCAAACTCTCTTGAGAGAGTGGACTCCCAGGAGAGTTTGGAGTAAGCTCTTCGGAGAGTTTGGAGAAACTCGGCGCACAGTGCGGAGAGAGTTGATCTTTCCGCATAGTTCGGAGAGATCTCTCCGCACAGTGCTGAGTGACCAAACTCCGCACTTTCCTTCCACGAAGTGCGGAGCAATTTTTTTTTTTGTTATTTTTTTTAAGTATTAACAATAAAATTAGCAAAACTAAATGTTTGGTATTTCAACAAAAATGAATTTACCAAATTAACATCAAAGATCACACTAAAGTAATACTTCCTCGGTATTCCAACAAAAATGAATTTACCAAATTAACGTCAATTTACCCAATTAAGATCAGACAATATTTTTTAGGAAAATAATTAATTATACAGTCTAAACAAGAAACACGCCCACACACAACTGATAATTGTTTTAGCATATTTTTTCATCTGGGTATTTAACTATGCTACTTATTTGATTAACCACCGAGATATCATCAATGAGTTAAAACAAGTCGAAGTCGAATTGTTTACCGATAGATTGGTTTTAAATTTGTGGTTTTACAACTGAAATCGCGTGCGTGCGTAGTTTATGTTCTGAGAATATTTCACCACTAAAAATCAAGGAATTTTGATATATAATCACAAATTATAAATGTACGCTATTTACCTTTCAACAACAAAAATGAAAATCAAACATCATTAAAAATTCAAAATTAGAACTCACCAACTTGAATGAATGACTGAAGACATGGGCCTTTTTCCAACCAAAGTGATCCATTAGAACATCTTTTGCCATAATTCTTGTCTTGCCTCATAAAACAAAATAAAATCCTTAATCTTCCGGCAACGATTAAAACGGAATGATAATACCACTCTAAAAAAATCTTACAGGCGTAGAACCTCACAGTCAAATAGAACCAACATTCATTCAATTCATAGCAAAAATCTATATTTACTTACCAAAGGCGAAAACTACCTCTGCAAAACAAAGAATTATAATTAATTCAACTTTGCAACAAACTCACTCTGGTGGAAAGGAAAATATGCATTTTTTTTTTATATAATTTGGAACAAAATCTAAATCAATTCCATAAAAAAAATTCGAAGAAAACACTACTAACCATTACAATCAGCAATTTTTTTTTAGAAGAAAGGGGAGTAGAAAGAGATATTTAAATTCATACACCTCTTCAACTACCTTGAGTAAATCAATCAATGGTCGAAAGGAAAATATGCATGTTTTATACAACTTGGAACAAAACCTAAATCAATTCCGAAAAAAAAAAAATACGAAAAAAATACTACTAATTATTACAGCCAGCAATTTTTTTTTTTTTTTTTTTTTTAGAGGAGAGGGGAGTAGAAAGAGATATTTAAATTCATACACATCTTCAACTGCCTTAAGTAAATCAATCAATAGCAATTGTTGTACCTGAAAATAAGGAGTATGGTCGTCGAAAATAAGGAGCAAAAATCGGGATGGACGTGAGCTGAAGAAGAGAAAGAAAGAAGGAAAAAAAAAATAACTTCAACATTGAAAAGTAGGAAAAATATATAGACAAAAATGACGTCATTTTCTTCTCTCTTGTATTGTAATTTGGGATTCATTTACCGTTCCATCAAAAGTGGCAACTTGTTGAGCTTTTTAAGAGAAGTTAGATATATATAGATTTGAAATTAGACATGTCTCCACTGTATAATGAAAAAATTTAACAATTTATAAATAATTTACAAATTTTGCATGATGAAAGCTAAAGTTAGACGTTTACGGCGCGTTTGATGGCCAATATATTTCTTGGAAAATGTGTTTTTTCCACTTAAATTTCCATTTTTGTGCTATTTGGTGACTTTTTTTTAATGGAAAACATTTTACTACTTTTGATCACGTGATCATATTTTTCCTTGGGAATAAAATTTTATTTTTCAAGGAATTCACTTTCCGTCTCTCATCTTTCCACTTTCTCATCTTCCTATCAATAAAAATCGTACAAGGATAATATTTTTTTTAAGTTAAAAATTAAATCAATCAAATACATTTAATTGACAATTTTCATGTAAATAAGTTTTAGACAATTGAATTACTTAGAATGTTTTTTCTTTCCATGCAAATTCTATACTTGCAATCAAACGTACATTTAAAGTACGAGTTTTTAACATTTTCAAAAGAAAAATTTGTGGAAGGGATTATTTTTCATTTTGTTCTCTACCATATTAACTTGCTACCATAACCTCTATAAATCAATTTATATAATTTAATAAATATTATTATTCTCAACAAAAATAAATTAAAAGCTTTTGTTAGATATTTTGTGTAAAAACTACTATGAGCTTTTCTTCAAAATATGAATATAGTTGTTACATATTTTTTTCTTTTCTATATCTTAAGATCCCAATATAGTCACATATCATCTCTAATTTTCATCACCAACTTAAAAAAAGGGTATTTAGCCTTCTGGAGTTGAATTCTCCGAAGTGTTTTCTTGGCATGTAACATGCCCCAAGTTTGTTTGTATGATAGAACAATAGATTTAATTTTTGGTATATCATTGGTATAAAAGTCAATTTTTTTTCTTGTTTATATAGTTATTGGAATTCACGAGTAATATCCATTTATTTCTATTGGTCTATAAACATATACGTTATAAACACTCGCCAACCGTAAATTAAAGAGCAATTTGGTAGTGTTTTTAAATACTTCTTCGAAACTAATAAATTTTGAGATTAAAAATTATTTTTGAAATTCTTTAAATAAATTTCTGAAAGTTTCTCAAACGACAAAATAAAAATTTATTTATTTACCCATTGTTTGATTTTTTATTATTTTCAAAATACGTTTTTCACTCTATTCTTTTTAACTACACATTTTTCAATAAAATAATATTATATACAAACTCATTTTTTTTTTTAACCTCACATTCTTGTCAATCTATTATTTCAACATGCATTTTTAACCCAAATAAATAAATAAATAAAATTGAGCTCAGTAATGTCTTTTACTCGAGAATTTTGTTGGAATATTCGATTTGGTCAAATAGTCCAAATTCGGGGATTTTGACGAAGAAAATGGATTCGTATATACCACCTAATAGGCCCACAAAACTCAGTTCATTCAAGAAAATCCTCACAAAGTCGCTGTCTTCTCAATTCCCTTTCTTCGACCCGCAAAAATCCCCACAAAAACCGTTGTCGTACCAACAATATGTCAACGATACAGCGAATCTGCATTTTTCTCTCCCTCTTTCTCGCCACCCCACCACCCTTTCTGGCCACCGCAGACGGCGGCAGAACCACTCCTCTGACGGCCTACGATATTCTACAATCGTACGACTTCCCGGTTGGCATCCTTCCAGAGGGCGTGACCCACTATGAAATCAACGGAGCCACCGGAAAGTTCAGCGCGTATTTCGATGGTTCGTGCAGTTTCTCCTTGGAAGGTTCTTATCAATTGAAGTACAAGTCGAAAATCAGTGGGTACATCTCCAAAGACAAGTTGACCAAACTTTCTGGAGTCAGCGTCAAAGTACTTTTCCTTTGGCTTAACATTGACGAGGTCAAGAGAAATGGGGATAAACTTGACTTCTCTGTGGGAATTTTATCTGCTGAATTTGGGATAAATAATTTCTATGAAAGCCCCCGATGCGGGTGTGGATTTAATTGCAAAAGTATTTCTGAGAATCGCCAAAGAGGGGGTATTAGGAGTAATCCCTTCGTATCTTCAATCTAACAGAGGTCAGTTTGTTTCGGGGTTTTTCAGGATGTTAACTTTTTCATCCATCCGTTAAATTTGGAATTACGTATGCTCTTGAATTTAATGTTGAATTCTGTACGTGTTCATAATTTTAATAATACTGGATTTTTCTTTGGTATCTCTGTTGTTTAATGCTCATGTTTATAATATATGTCGAATATTATGGTTTCTGGAATACAGTATTATCTTTCTTATGCCCAGATTGTGGACACAAGGAATAAAGTGTTTGATATCATTAAAGTCTTGAAATTTTTCCCAGCCATGCAGATTAAGAAGATACGTTTTGCAGTTTAAGATCTAGAGTTTTAAAGCTTTGATAATAGTTTAAGATGCAACATTTGCATATGTTGGGGCCATTGATCTGTTTTCATATTTTTAGTACTCCTTGATGACTTTGGCACCTGACCAGAGTACGAACTTGAAATATGGTGGATGAGTTAAATTGGCTTCTTAGGAAGTTCTTTGTGTTTTGGAGGATGTTTTGAGCCCGTTTGATGCGGCTTTTGAAAAGCCAAAAGGTGCTTTTGAAATCCAAACGTAGCTTTTGGAGTCGTTAGGCAAATTTTACGAAAGTGCTTCTTCTACTTAGAAGAGTTTTTAGAGGAAGTTGGTCCAACGTGGGTTCCTCTAAGAGCATTTCTGAAATTGGAAGTTCTTTTAAAAGTTAGTTTCGAAACAAAAATTAAAGTAACTTTTTTCAAAAATTCTTCTACGGGAAGCAAAACCAAAAGCCACACCAAACGGGCCCTTTTTATCTTTGTGATGAAATATGAAATTGCATTTGCTTAGATTACTGGATTGACATTGTAAAGTTTTCTTTGTGAGGCTGGGGTTTGTATCGATTCTTGTGGTAGAGAAATTGATCTGGGATATTGTCACCAGTTTGCCTAAAAGTTATACCTTAGGCACTAATTTAATCCGTCCTATATCACCCTGAATCAAGTTCGGAAATTCATGCCAAGTCCATTCTCTTGGGCCCACCTCTATTTCGAGCATGATCCTACATCATACATGGTCTTTTTCCAAACTCTAGTCCCCTTTTGATGTCTACGTGCAAAGTGTCTATATGTTATTAGAAACTAGAAAGGAGTAGTGAATTGCGGCAAGATATGAATGTTTGGGTGCTAAGTATCCGTGAAACTGATAATTGGAAGCAAAGATGCAATGTAATAGAACTTGCTATGGAAAATTAGGTTTCAGAGAATTCTGCTTGCTGAAAGTATTCAGACATCATATTAGTTGCAATGGGCGAATGGGTATTCCGTGATTGGTTGAGGACTTATTTATAAAGTGACAATATTTTAGGTGCTTTAACCAAGTGGTTTCGTGTAGGTATTTTGGCTCTACTGATAGTGCACAGAGATCTGAGGTCTTGAATTTTGATTTCAGTTACGCTTCTCTTAAAGTTCCATGAAATACTTCCTTTTAACTGTTCTTTGATAAGCACAAAGTATTTTTTCTAATTAGAAGAACTTTTAGATGAAGTTAAAGAAAAGCCTCTTTTAAAATTAGTTTTCAAACACTAATTTAAGGTAACTTTTATATGAAACTTTTATACAAAAAGTATAAGCAATAGAAGTCCTGCCAAACGCCCTGATTATTATGAAGCATGGTAAAGTAAAGCGAACATGAACAGGAAAAAAAAAAGAAAAAAAAAGAATGTATTTATATATCATGAACTTGATGCGAGTATACAAGAATTGTTAAAGAGAGGGGAAAAAAAGAAAAAGAAAAAAGCCTTAGGTATAGGCTTTTTTGACGGAAATTTGACATGATGCTGACATGACAGCACCTTGCTAGCCAGTTTTCCATTTTTTTTAATCTTTTAATGAAAACTCGCCAAGTGTTATTTCTGTAAACTTTCTGTTGAATTTTTCTATACTTCTAGCATTGTGGGGGGTAAAAAAAAAGAATTTAAGAGACGATATTAATGAACAGTTGGTTGCTGTCCAATCCACCTTTCGCTATCAATGTAGGAAATGTCTACGAATGCCATCAACTCATTTGGTCTTAGAGTTTTTACCCAGTTGACCCGTTTTGACGTGTCGTATCCTGGTCCATAACAATGATGCTCAACGAAGGTTAAATTTTTTACATCTTTATCCCAAGAATCCCATCCTTCGGGAAGGATATTGTTGGCCATAAGTGACTTGTAAAAAATAACTCTCGAATATTCTTTCCATGCTCTTCCTAGATATGTCTTTCCTTCAGATTTTCTGATTACTCTACACTTCTTAAATACAAATCCACTTGAATCATTTGGATCATATCTTCCGTGAGCAGCTATGTAGCCTATTTCTGGTGTATTTAGCAATATGCGACATTGTTCATAAATTGATTGACCATTACCAAAGATGAAATCAACGGCTCCCTCGATGGTACATTGGTTAAAGTAGTGCCTACCTCTCTCGTCATACAGTGTGTCCTGGAATCCCAAGAAACTACACTGATAAAAGGCCAATTTATCACCCGCAATCCTTGCTGCTACTGCCCACGACGGGTTATTATTCTTGGGAGGATAATTGAAAGAATTCACAAATTTTATCCCAGACACGAGAGTATTATCAGCCAGAAAACTAATAGTCGGACTAGTTTCTATCGTGCCATTGTCACCCCAAGTAACCGTAGTTCTTCCCACGCCGTCTCCTTTCAAATAGATGAATGGCTTGTCAGAAGGGATTGTTACTTTTTCATTATAGATGCCTTCTTTGATCGAGATTTCAATCCATTGACTGTTATCCGAAGGCACGGCATCAATGGCAGATTGAATGGTGGGAAAGTTATGAGGATTTCCTGGATTCACATAGAGAACTCCATTCGCCAATGTGAAGCAAAGAGAGAGAGCTAGAATATAAACTGAAGCTTTCATTGTTAAAAGTGATATATATTTGCTTATGAACGAACGTTCGTGTGCGTGTATTTTTCTGTTCTGTAATCTGCCTGAACGTTAATGAACTTTCTTTGTGATTTGTGTACGTGGGTTGGTGTATTTATATTATAATGCATGGGATTTGCCTTGTCGAAGAAGAAGAATTCTAATTGTATTGAACTAGTTTAGCAGTTGATGTATTTAAAGTTTAATGCAATTCCAGAATCCAATCCCAGTCGTATGAGAACAGTGACTTAAAATTTAACTTTAATTAGGATTTGGAATTGGACCCTGTTTTTCTAATTGAGATTTTTAGGATAATTTAACAAATAAAATCCTGTACGTTGATTATTTACCATAATAATTAACAATACGTTTACGTGTCTTTGTATTATCATTCTCTCAATTCTCAGGTTTATTTGAACTCTATAGGGCACCATCAATTATATTATTTTCTTCTAAAGCTTTGTCGTGATTTGATTTTTCAGAACTGCATTTTTAAATTTATGAAATTTAATGATTTAAATTCTTATCAAGGGTGTGTTTGAGCCCCTATAATTTTGAAAAATTTATTATGGAATAGTAGATTAATGGAGAACGTGTGGTTTAAAAAAATGAAAAGTTTTTTATTTGCGTATAATATTATTTTAATAAAGAATGTGTGGTTAAAATTGAATACTGTCAAAGTAATGCAATAGAATGTAAAATAATGGATAAAAAACATGGGCTAAATGTGTTTTTTATATCGAACTCTATTGTTTGGAATTTGAAAATTAGACCCAGATTTGAATCATGTTTGCAAACGCTTGAATACATTTTGCCTGTTCGGTAGTGATTTTGAGAATTGATTTTTTGACCGTTAAAAGAAAAGTGGGGGTCACTTGTAAGAGAAGAAGTCAAAAATTACGGCTCAAATTGTAAAATAACTATCAAAAAATTAATTTTTGGGGGTGAAAAATCACTCCCAAACAAGGCTTTAATCTACCATATTTGCAAATGGAAAATTTTTATAACCATGACAATATAAGAATACAATTTAAAAATGAACAAATTTGTAATAATAATAATAATACAAAAATCGAATGGTATCCGACTTATGACATATTTTGATAAATAATTGTGATGTATAAATTGAAATTAAAATATATCATAGTCACATATCACTTAAGTGATAAGTCATCGTCATTCGTAAAAACAGGCCATACGACGTATTACCTGATTTTCGAAAAAAGAGAAAAAAGTTAATGGCTGATTGATGAAATTAAAACTTAAACATGATTTTAGGTAATTTTCTCTTTGGAAACAATCATTTACACGACGAATGGTTATTATCTAACAAAAAATGTCATATTATATAGCTGGTCATCACCAAAATTTCATAGGAGTGTTATATTTCAATGATGTCTTTAATTTGTGAAACGAAATTATTTTTGATAAAGTGTAAAAGTTTTAAAATATCGTAACTTTTACCTAAATTATTGTTATCTAAACATTTCAACATCACCAATTAACTCGCATAACTATACGTTACAAAATTACGTGAACTGCGCATGTTCTTTAACTAGTACATTTAGAAAGGCAGACCTGGGCGGTCTCTCATGTTTTATGCTCGAGAAGTTACACAAACGATAATTTAAAAATGAGTGCTATTGATGTCAATTTTCTGAATTTGTCAATATAGGACTTTATAGAAGCCCATTCAAAGATGGCCCAAATTTAAGCCCAATACTCGAAAAATCTAAACGCAACGACATTGAATTTCGCCGCTCGAATTCTCAGTTCGAACCTTTCCGTTCAGTTCACCGGTAGAAGAGACTAAACAGTGGCCATGGCGGAGAATACCCCCAACGACGGCGATGTTCCTCCAAAAATGACTATTTACATTAATAACCTCAACGAAAAAATTAAGCTTGACTGTATTAAGCACATTTATATTTATGCCTGCATTTTTACATGCATTTGGATGCAATTGAATATCTTTTTTAAGTATTTCTGAATGTATTATGTTCTATAGATTGATTATTTCTTTTTAAAATTGAAGAAATCGCTTCACGCTGTGTTTTCGCAATTTGGGAAGATTCCGGAGGTTTTGGCATTCAAAATCCTAAAACACAAGGGGCAAGCTTGGGTGATTTTCGAGGAGGTTTCTTCTGCCATTGATGCACTTCGACATATGCTGCGATTTCATTTCCACGACAAGCCCATGGTACGATCTTTTTGTTGGTAATTGCCTCGAAAGTTAAAAAATGGAGGACTTTTTTTACAAATAATAAAAGGTAATTATTATATGGAAGACTTCTAATTAAAGTTGTGAGTTAAATCTTATAGAATTTGGTCCCCAAATTTAGGTCGGTTTTAAAGTTTTGCACATGACGGAATTCTTATTGATTTAAAGGAGTCTTGTTTGAGTTTAAATTAAACTTATCTACTTAATTATTGATAGTGGATGTATTTCATTGTTATGGGTGTGGCCAGAGATTTGATTTGAGAGGAAAATATTGTGAGCTTAGCATCTTGAAACTTTTCGTGCAAAGGGTAGAAAAGTAGATGTGGTAAAATTCGAGTTTATTTTTTCTTTATAATACTAGGGGATTGGATTGGTGAATAAAATTCTATATAGTAAAAAATTTTGACGATCTGCTTAATTTGTGCATTATATTCTTTATTTTTTCATGTTTGCTAATATTCTCTTGAACAACAAAAAATATTGCTGGTAAATAGAAATAAAGGGAATTGGCGTAAAATTCCCAATACTCCCTGCATTTGATAGTCCTGCTTTCTTTCAGTGATATGTTTTAGTAGCTGACCTGAATGTTGGATTGTATATTATACTAATTTCATTTTCGGTCTGAGTCCAATAACTTTGTGCGTGCTGCCAATTGAATATTATGTTTTACCTGATTTAATCGAGGGTTTGTACCAGAATACGACGGTATTCTGGATAATTTTGCGTCTTATTGAGTCATTGAGAAACTTGATGTCATAATGTTTTCATTGAATACTCATTAGTCATTATCGGGCAATGCACTAATGAGTGAAACTCCCCCCCATTATAAATATGATAAAAGTTAAATATTTGTGATGGGATATTTATTGTAAGATTTCTAGCTGTAATAGATTTTATATTCTTATTCTTGTTTAGAATAGAATTTCCAATTTCTTTTAGATTAGGATTTTATTTTAGTTTCCTTATATTAGTAGAATTAGTGAATAATTTTGCCTATATACACAAAGGCTTTGTACACTTTTTAATTCAATTCAATACAATAACATTATTCCTACTATAGTTTCTAACTTTTTACTTTATTCTTGTTTCAAGAATTTTAATTCCGCTTCCACACCAAAATTAGTATCAAAGCAAGGTTTGCCATTTTATGATGGCTACTTATGGTGGTAGTGGTAAGTATCCTCATGACGATGATCGAAAGAGTGTAACTAGAAATCTTATTATAAATAAATATCCTATTACAAATAACTAACTTTTATTCTATCTATAATAGCATTGTTCTACATTACTACGATAAGGCAAAAAGTAGCTTACTTAACATGAAACATTGAGGGAGAATAATTAGTTATGAAAATCTATTGCTCTACTAAATTTTTATTTGCTTGGTCCTATGTTTCCTATCAGACATCTTGCTTACAGAAAGGTTCATTTGCACCATGTAAAAAACACATTGACCTTTTGTTGCAAGGACGCTAGCAAAGGCCCGACTCATTATGTATTTTGTATAATGAAGGAAGAATCTCTCTTGAGGTGCATTATAATGTTTTTGGTTTAGGTGGCAACTACATATGATCAAAGAAAAATAGACCCAAAAAAAATAAAAATAAAAAAGAGCATATTTCTGATTTGGGCTTGATAGTGCAGACTTATTGTAAATTTTGGGGAAACATATATAAATGGTTTAGACATGGTAAAAGAAGGTCACTGGATGTCCTGGATAGCATCTTTGAACTAGCATTGATGGTACACCTAGAGGAAAGAATCAATTAGAAAGGATTCGGGTCTCTGTGGTTTGACTATGGAATAGTTGTTTGTGGGGTAAGGTAGAAGAAGAGTACATCCTTGTAGCTTCTCCAAATAGGTTTATGATAGGACTGGGTTGAGGAACCTCTGATACTCCGTAGAGAACCCTCTTACTTTATCACTTCGCTATTCCCGTGGGGGGCAAGGTGAAACGTTCTTCTTTCCATGCATTGGGGGTTGCTCCCTAAGAATCAACCTATGGAGTTGCAAATCCACCAAGTACAATGAAATTCATTATGATAAGTTCTTATCAAGATAGGTTCGTTAATGAAGTGCGCTAGCTGGACGCGTTCTTAAGCTCTTAAATAAATTTATTATCTTAACCAGAGCTATACTCTTAAACATCAGGTTGGTATATAGAAATTGAAGCTTGTTGAATCCTGAAAAAGCTTGCTTAAGATCGATCCCCTGAATAATACTTGTAGACTGTAGTATAGAAGAATGTCAAGCTTTTATTAAGGACTCGTTTTTGACATACTAAGCTCAAGTAATGTAATGCTAACCAACTCGTATTTGCTTTATTTTGCCATTCTTGATATTAAACTGCTTTCCTGTACCAATTTTCCCTTTTAGCACTTCTTATTGTCATATATGAAGTTGATGATGTATGTTCAACTATCTACTTTTTATTTATAATTTTTTTTAAGCAAACTTAAATGGTAAGCATCCTCTCTCCAAATTTTGCAGCTTTCTCAAATTCCATATATGGGGGCTATAGCTGCTGTCCAGGAGGCACCATCTCCACCAAATAACATTTTATTTAATCAGAATCTTCCTTCCCAGACGACCCCAATGATGCTGCAAATGCTTTATTGTCAATATCCTGGATTTAAGGAAGTTAGAATGGTGGAAGCAAAACCCGGAATTGCTTTTCTAGAATACGAAAATGAGATGCAATCAACTATTGCAATGCAGGGACTTCAGGGATTCAAGATAACCCAAGACAATCCTTTGTTGATTACCTATGCAAAGAAGTAGACAACGTTTTTGTACTGTTTTGCCCAAGAGAGTGAATGTTTCTCCGTATTTAATCATTATAAGCGGCAGCTTTCCGGTAGTACCTGTGTTGTATTATTACTTTCTCAAATATTATGAGTGTCTATTTTTCAATTCAATATCTTTTTTGTGGTACTTCAGTTTAAGTAATTTTGCTTGTGCTCTAGCCCAGGTACATTGTACGTGCGATTCATCAAGTTTCTTTCATTGGTTATTACAATGGTTAAACATGACCGTCATGAAATTCACATACAGCAAGCTTTTTTATGTTTGAATTACATAAAAGGAAAGTACAATTTTGTGCATTGTGCAGTAGAGTATGCATCTTAATTAACGCTCTTAACTAAATGAATTTGCACCTAAAATTTAAAATAATATGGAACGATAAGGTTAATTGTTTTCTTTCCTGTTTGTAAGACGCATTCAAGCAGAATTCCATGGATATGAAGACGTTATAAAACGCGAAACTTCGACTGTCAACTTACAACGATTAATCTCGTCCAGAAGGATTTCTACTTTTTGCTTCTGTTCCTTATAGAAGAACTTCTTGAAAAAATTGTTTTACATCAACTTCCTTTCAAATCTCTTCTAATCAGACAAAATCAATCTCAAAAAATTATTTAAGGACTAATTTGGCACAACTTTTAAGACACGTCTCACTAATTTTATGATAGTGATTCATTTGGTTCAATGTGACTTCCTCTAGATTAGAAAGCTATTTTAGAAAGTAGTTTCAAACGAAAATGAAGGTAGTTTCATGAAATTCTCTTGCAGAAAGCAAAAGTAAAAGTAAATGCAAACATTATATCAACGGATCCTAAATATGTTCAAAATCGTTTTTAATTTTAGAAGCAGCTTTTAACTTTTCAAAAATCCTGTCAAACGAATAAATTTGAGATTACAATTTCAGTAGTAACAAATACTTGAGTTGAAAATACACCAGTAAGTTATGAAATTAGAAATCAATGGTTCTATCAGCGTTGAGGCATTTTTTTGTAGTTACACTCTTTCCAACTCAGTTTTGTGTTTGTGCAGTTGCTCTTTCAACTCCTCCTTCCACCCTTGAATCAGTCTCTCTTGCTTATTGATAAGCTCAGTCTTTAATTTCAACTCTTCGTCCATCGTAGCAATCTCCTGCAGAGAATATGATATTAAAGCCCGGTCAGTCCTTGGATACTAAAAGTATTATGCATTATGTCGATACGGATTTATCCGCAACTTACCTTCTGAAGGGTTTCTGCTCTGGTGGGCTGATCATCACGTTGTAAACCAATAAAATAGAGCTGAAGCTTTTTGGCCGCCTCCATAAAATCTCTAGCGTGTCTCTCCACATCAACTGAAGCAACCCAAAAATGTTACATTTTTCATTTTTCTCCTTTCTTTTCTTTTGTATTATTCATTAAGTGGTGAAAAGAGGCCAAACAAACAGAACTAGATTAACTAAAATTCCATTCCCATGGGACAATCACCTAGCCATGGACAAATTTACAAGTTTCATAAAAGAACAAATGAGGATGCAGATAGTTGAATAAATTTAACAGGAACTTTGATGTTATTCTCAATTCGATATCAACAGCTCATAAACAGAAATGTTGAAGATAAGTTTTGTAAATTTCGACCTCACAGCACATTGACTATTAAGAATCCATGTTCTTATTTAAGTTTATCAATCAGCGAACAACGACAGCTACTGCAAGTAATGCCCACCAACGTATAACCAAAGGTTTTTCCACTAAATCTGGTCACAAAAGCTCATATTAGAGTTAAATTTGTTTGGAGAACTAATGTTATCGAAATCCCAGTTCATATAATGAAAAGCCACCAGCCTCGACAACAATTTCAGGGGAAAGCACGGGTGCTGAATATTTTGATCAATGCAAAGAATAAGTACCTAAAACACTGTGAATTAATTATGCACGATTCATGTTTTATGAGACGAAATTGAAAACTATGCAAAGCCTAAACGCATTTATAATGGTTCTCTCTAAATGCAAGAGCTACGTCCACTCAATATTTCAACTTTCACTATAACAGTGAGAGGAGTACAAAGTTTTACTCAAGCGTCTCGCACACCAAAATGACACCCTAAATCTCCTTTATATAGAATGAATATTAGGGCTGACTAATGCATGTATAAAGTATGCAATATCTTTCTAATCGAAATTTGCCTAGGTAGGAGCTTCACCCTTGAACTATCAAGCCAGAGGTGCCTACGGCCACCCCGTGAAGAGGATAAATTTAGAATATTATAAGGCTCTACAAAGTCCAACAATTTACTGTTTTCTTGTTTATCCATTCTGGTTAACCACTTTCCCCTTCCCCTATCCGAGAATCCCCCTATTTCGTGCCAATTTGAAAGGGTAATACTAAAAACTAACAGAACTTACTCTGGTGAGAAGGATGCGGAGAACGGTCGATTGCTTGGAGCTCTCTTGCAGGTAAGCATGGTAGCAAAGCAGCCTCCAATGCTACCACGTAAGAGATCATGTCCTCCTTCGTTGTAGGAGGAGACTGCAATTGTGCATCATGCTGCGGCTCGTTCAACTGTCTTTCAGCCATGTCAATCTTTATGAAATTGTCGATTTGAAATCACAAACTGAAAAATACAAACAAATTGGATTAAGTTATATATGCTACAATAGCAACGCAGATGCCAAATACATTTTCAGTTCAATCCACGATGATTGCTGAAGGAAATAAGGGGAAGGGGATTTTCACCGAACACATACAATGCATTACATTGGGAAGGGGTTAAAAATTAACAGTAAGCTTTAAAAAATCACAATAGTCGTAGAATAATCACTTCAATTGAACAGATACGTGAAGTGCACTGTGAAATTGACGAGAAAACTACAAAATCCAAACAAATAAGAAAAACTGCATTCAAACTCCCTTGATCCCACATGCGTAATCCACCTTAATTTAAATTTGTGAACATTTTAATCTTCGGAAAGAAATAAACATACTGAAGATTTGAAAATTTATATTTCTGAATTTCAAGATTGTACGAGGTTCCTCTTATTCCAGAGGAAAGAAGCAATTTTAAGGCAAAGTGCTTGTGCTTGTGCTTGTTACGAGGGAGAGAGGCCAATTGCTCATTTATAGTCGAAAAGTTACCTCTTTGCTAGATGAGGATTTAGCCTTTGTTGGTTTCATCTTTTGCTAAAATTTTAATTTTGATAGTAAAACATTAATTTTAATAATATATTTCGTAAGATTCACAAGTGTTATTCAAATATACACAAGGAAGCTTTTGATAGGATGATCTTATAAGCATACATGATATGATCAATCATTTAAATTGTAATATATCGATCCAGTTAAATCATGAAATATCGGCACTCAGGTGGATCCTACCATCCACTTGTTTATATTCTTACCATCGTGGATGTCGAGATATCATGATTTGAGTTATTCAAATACAAAATATTGTGATTTAAACGACGTGTCTTATCACAAATGCATATAAGACCGTCCTATTTTTCTCTATATATACCCTTCATTTATTGAAAAGTTAAGTTTTAACAAAAGTAAATGAACCCAAACAAATGTAATATATGAGTAAACTTTATTCCACCATGCTATAGTAAGATTACTATTGAGTTTACCGACAAGGTCAACGTTGTCACACGAGGAATGATAAAAAAAAAAAAAAAGTTACTAGAGCAAAGTATATACATGTATTATGAGAATTTTCAATATGTTGCTAGAGCGGTTGCCACCTCATCCCATGTCCCTCAATACTTTAGCTAAAACATTTGTCAGCCACATAATATAGTAGTCCTTTCAAACATAATTAGTCCAATTTTTTCTCGTATAAGTACGCAAGATATTTGAGGAGGGCATTTTTGTTCTATTGACATCGTAGAGATCAATCGTTCTCCTTTCGTAAATTAAATGTAAAACGAACAATTATTTTCTTAAATTGTAAGAATAGGTCAATTGGATTAAAAAACTCTCAAAATTGTTGCAAACCTTATAATTTCCTTGCACAATCGAAAATCCTTAGAAGGGATAACAAGCCCTATCAAAGATTTAATTATTATAGAAATTAAAAAAAAATACGCGTATTTAAACTACAATTTGAGACATAAACCCTACATTTCTAGTAGATAGGTTTAGAAATTGGGCATTGAAAACGTATGGTCACAAGTAGTTCTTCAATTAATGGAACACGATTTATCTTGTGTAGTATTTTTATTTACATTTTAAATCGAGTTATCAATAATATAATTATTACAAACTTTGTTACTGAAAATGACCATTTTGAAATTTATTATAAACTTCGGTGACCGTTGTTGAAATTAACTCCAAATGAAATTAGCAAAGGAATTTTATTTTAAAATTTACCAAAAAAAATAGTGAGCTCCCGCCGTCTGCTCTCGATGCCACTCAGCTTTTCCAATCCTCCTTTCCCATTATTCAGTTTTGAATTTTAGGATTTGTAACTGACATTACACTGTAAATCCAGCATTTTTTCTCCCAAATTTGGTGAAATTATGCTACACGAACTGTTACTGGCGCTTCTGGGTTACACCGGAGATCTTATAATTGATGAAAGGGAACGCCAAGAATCGCTTCGAGTTAATTTATCCCCAGACGCGCCGCTTGCCGAAGAATCCACCTTCAAACTCGCTCCCGATCTGTCCTTCATCCAGCCCAGCGATAAGTATATATTTTACGCTTTTTATTACTTATATTCATATTTTTCGTACTATTTTTCTATATTTTTTTGGTCTATTGTACATAGCGATTGTAATGATTCATGAATTACTGGAAAAAACGCTGATGAAAAGAAAATTTTAACATCTTTTGTAATTAGTATGTCACTTGTGGATATTAAATTGATTTGAGCAAGAATGTTAGAAGGTGATTATTTTCATTTCTTTAGTTTAAGTTGGTTTTGTTTGTTGCAGGGAAGTTATTGAGAGAATAATCACGCTAGGGTTTATTTACAGAGAGTTGGACCGTTTTGCTTCCAAGTGTCGAAATTTAAGTTGGATTAAGTCTTTGAAAGACTCACCATTGTTGAGTAATGCTGAAATATTGAAACATAAAAAGTTGAAGCAGAGTGTTTACCGAAGGGCTGTTGCGAATGGGATTGTGGAGGTGCTGTCACTGTACAGATCTGCTGTTTTACATATTGAGCAGAAATTGTTGGCTGATTCTCTTCCCATCCTGGCCTCTGTGACGCAAGGACTCAACAAGGTTAGATATTGGCTATGCATTTATCCTATAAAAGCGTCTTGCATAAATCTAACAGTGATGCGATCTTACTAGAAAAGGTTAGAAGAGGGAGAGGTGGTGCAGAACTGATATTGCCTATTAGTGGCTGAAGATCTTATTATTAGATACTGAAAATACTGAATGTGAAAAATATTCATATAGCAACTAAAGTTATATAGAATAATTTAATATGTTCCTCTTGTGTCGCTGATAGGCCCCCTATTCGGTTAACCTATGCTAGAAGAAAGAAGAGCAATGATCATAAAGGTTCAGCCAAGTCAGTTGAGTTTGTTAGTGAGGGGTAAAAATGTAATAATTTGTTATAGGAAAGTAAATAAATAGGGAGGGTCAGTAGGCGGGAGAGGCATGAAAAATCTGATTTTCTGTTGAGAGTAGGAAGGATAGACAGGGCCTCTCAAATAGTCCTGGACTTGTATTTTTTCTGTTTTCCTTCACCTGAATTGGGTAATAAATCATTCATTTCACTACATTTGTGAGTTACTTGCGGTCTAAGCAGGTGGGATTCTACCAGTCGCCCATCAGAAATATCCATGTTAAAATGAATCACCGAAAATGTGCTCTGGAAACAACAATTAAAACTAGTTCGATCTGTATGCCCTTTGGATGCCTTGTCGATTTTCATGTATTAATATTACGTTGTTTAGGAGTTTATTCTTCGAGGTTGTTCTGGAGGCAGTCTTTTCATTTTAACTTACCTTTCCTCCTCAATCTAGCTCGGTGTATCTGACTGAGTCTTGTTGCATGTGATTTATCTGTGTAAATGTAGATGTTAATGAATTCTAACTGTACTAAGGAATTTGTTTGCTGCACTGGTAGGAAGGTTAGTTTGCTTCTTTAGGAATCTATTGCTAAAATGGCATTCTTTGTTTTTTTTTCCAGTACTTTTATATTTTCCCATGATCGCGTTCTTTAGGGGTATCTAGTTTTATTCTCAACTAACTTGGAACATCTGTCCCAGTTCTTTGTTCTGTTACCACCGCTTTACGAGCTCATTCTGGAGATTGAACGTGATGGTATATGTGGTGGGAGACTTCTCAATATTTTGCACAAACGATGTCATTGTGGAGTTCCCGAATTGCAGACATGCATCCAGCGGTATGCATTGCTCATCCTTTTTCATTGAGTTCATACCTATTTTCTTTCTTCCACTGACTGATTTTGTACTCAATTATTTTAAGTCACATATCTGATGTAGAAACTTTAGGAATTTATGAGAATTGTATAGCCTTTTCCATGGTATTTTAGTACATAAGAGAAGGTGGTCTGTAAAAAAAACCAAAAGCTAGGAGATGTTTCCAAGTAAAAAAATGTGTCAATCAGGATCAGTGGAAGCGGTCCATTTGTGCTTTTTTTGTACTAATTACGTATCTTCTTATATTAGATGAAATATAGATACTAGCCTGCAAGTAAGTTTTATAGGTCCTGCACGTATCGCCATTGAAACATGCACCTGTTCCTGAAATAAATCAATCTATATTTTTGGGTTGTTAAAATCTGACACAAATGAGGGTCCATCAATTTATGGATCACTAAATTTTTACATAAAACATCACAAATTGAACTTAGTTTTTCAAAAAATAAGCGTCTTTAGCAGATGCATCTGTGGTCATGTTTATTCGTCTTTATCTACAGTGTACAATCAGAGGATTCTGCCATATGTAAAATTTGTTAGATCTCTATGGGGATAAATTGGCCCTTTGTTAGCATATTTAGTTGGACCGGAAAGAGGAGTTTATTCAGAATATTTATGCTTGAGCGAATGGTTTGCTTTAGTAGTTTGATATGCATAAAAGTGTAATTCTTTCCTTCTTTTAGCTGGAAACCTGTCCTGATAAGGAATTTTCTTGAACAATTAACAGTTGTAGTTGCATTTTATCTTGCTGGACAAAGCAATATGACCATGAAATGTTTGTTATTTACTTAATCTGGGCAGAAGATTTCCTTTTGACTTGGATTAATAACAAGTATAAATCTTTCCTCCTTGAGCAGGCTTCTATGGCATGGACATCAGGTCATGTACAATCAACTTGCATCTTGGATGGTTTATGGGATTCTTCACGACCAGCATGGAGAATTTTTCATTAGCAGGTATAGGTTTCTGAGTTCTTTACTGTTTTTGTCTTCTTTTCAAATTTGTTTGAATGTTGGAGCTGCATATATCTAGAAATTTAAATAATTTCATTTTATTTCCAGGCAAGAGGATAGAGATTCAGAACATGACTCACCTTCAGACTCACTTGAGAAGTTGGCTCGCATGTCAACCGAAGACATATCTCTAACTGATTGGCACTTGGGATTCCATATCTCACTGGTATATTAATTTTATTTTCTACTGTTGCTTTCCGATTCTTCTTGTCACATTCGATTATGTTTGATGTTACTATTATTATGGGTCTATCCATTCAGGATTCTATGGCTGTATTACTCCGGTTACTAATATGATGTAATTTTTCTGTCTAAATCTTAACTTACTCTTTATCTTGGTCTTTATTCAATAACAACCTTTATCTATATCAAATGACGAGCTTTTCATTGAAAATCTGGAGTGGAATAAATTTCATCAATACCATGCATCTCATGATTTTTTATCAAGAAGAGATTTTGCATGGTGTTCGAGGTCACCTCACTTTTGGAATTCTGGGTCAAAATTATCATTTTTTTTTTCATGTTTTTTATCATCTTTAATTTCTGACACTACTTATACTAAAATATTAACTTACTCTTTATCTTGGTCTTTATTCAATAACAACCTTTATCTATATCAAATGACGAGCTTTTCATTGAAAATCTTGAGTGGAATAAATTTCATCAATACCATGCATCTCATGATTTTTTATCAAGAAGAGATTTTGCATGGTGTTCGAGGTCACCTCACTTTTGGAATTCTGGGTCAAAATTATCATTTTTTTTTCATATTTTTTATCATCTTTAATTTCTGACACTACTTATACTTATTATAGAGAAGTAGAAGGATTCAGAGACTTGAAGATATAGCCTCAATCTTATCATTGGACAAATTTACTTTTGATGTGATTTCCGTCACACAAAGACTATAAGCGTAGCTTGGATAGACTTAGCGTACTTAGCTTTTATTGATACGGCCAATAGGTTGCTCACTCTTTGCCCCCTGTTGATATTGATGGAGAAATAAATATAGTTTAGATAAGATTTCAAAATAGAGTTTAATTCCAATTATGAATGTTTAATTAGATTATTTTGATAAAGTTTTAGTCTAACAGAAGTTCGTTTGATTTTAGCTTCTTTCTAATAGAGGGCTTATTTATTGTAATAGACCCATGATTATATGAATAAAACTATTTTTTCTTTGCCCTCAATTCTTCTCTTGTTGGACCCCCTTTCTCTTCTTGTTCTGCAATTATTCGTTGCCAAATTAATACACTCCCGGATTAGATATATTTCTTTTCTTGTTAGATCAAACAAAATAAATAAATAAATAAATACGTTGGCAATTTCAGAAATGAAGCCAAGGATGATTTTTGGCTTATTGGTAATCATCTTTGAGTCATTACTTGACATTTGTTATCACTTCAATTTTCCAAATAGAAACTATTACACTTTCATTTACTTCATTCTGCAGGATATGCTTCCAGAATACATTCCAATGCAGGTTGCTGAATCCATTCTGTTTGCTGGGAAAGCTATCAGGGTTCTTAGAAATCCAAGTCCAACCTTCAAGTTTCATGATGCACCATCTCATCAGCAGATTCCTAGAGGATCACAAAAGATACAAGGATTTAATGGACGTTTTTCTTTCCAAAGGGACTCTTCTGTCTGTACCACGTTGATTGCTGAAGAGTTACTTCCACAATCTGAGGCTGACAAGATTGAGTCTATGCTTCAAGACTTGAAGGTTTTCATTATCAGCTAAACATAACCATTAGTGTATATATTGTCTGTCATTTAGGTAGTAATATTTGTATAAGGTTTGTCATTATGGCACATGTAAGTCGAAATGCAGTTTACCCATTTGTTGATTTATTCTCTTTTCCCAAGTATTTAAGCCCTTATCATTGTGAATTTGTGTTATTAACATTCATTAATTTCCTTTCTGGAATGACTCAGTTATTTAGTTGTGTGCAGGAGTCATCCGAATTCCATAAGAGATCATTTGAGACTGCTGTTGCCTCAGTAAAAGCAATTGCAGCAAGTCATCTTTGGCAGGTGACAAATGCGAAAAGATAATGTTCTTGGCTTTTGGTCTTTAAAGAAAATTCATTTATAAATTCTTGTCATCTTTGCAGCTTGTGGTTGTACGTGCTGACTTGAATGGCCACTTGAAGGCTCTTAAAGATTATTTTCTCTTAGCAAAAGGCGATTTTTTTCAGGCATGGATAAATGACATGTCACGTACTTTTATTAGCTTTGTTAATTAGTTTTGATCTCTTCGAAACAGTTCGCATCATAAACGCGTGTTTTTATTTCTAATAAATCTTAAGCTACTTGGTCACGTCCATGGAGACTTTCATTCTTTGATGCCTTTAGGATACACAATTTGTCTTGCAATCTATCAAGATAAAAAGTATTTTCTGTCTCCTTGCAAACATTTTTTCTGAGAGAAGGTTTTTGCTACAGGGGTTGAGATACCCATTACTTCATAAAATGTGCAAGGAAATATGTTTCATGAAGTATCCTTAATTTAGATATACAAAAAAAGGAAAAAAAAATTTGTTGAATTAGAACGAACATTTTGTACATGCCTCTGCAATATATTGTAGTGATGAGTTATGGTGAGTGATTGAACATGCATTGAAAGATGATGTTAAATGACAGAGTTTTCTCGAGGAGAGTCGGCAGCTTATGCGTTTACCACCTCGCCAGTCAACTGCTGAAGCCGATCTGATGGTTCCTTTTCAACAGGTAACATTTAGTGATTGTCACAATTGGCAAAGGAAAATATTTTTAATAGTACCCTCCAGTCAGTTTACAATGAAATATTTCTCTATGTCATCTTGTAAGTAGTGTGTAGCCTTACTGTTTTCTGTCTGAAGAAGATTTGGAAAACCATTTCTCGTTATGCCTCTTTTTCCTTCCACTACCACAGTTTGGTATAAAATAAATATTAGGGCCCATTTTTGTTTTTTTTTTCCTTTCTTTGCTGACATTGCATATATTCCAGAAGTTATACTACAATTGAAACTAGTATGTCTGATTCAGGCTGCTATAAAGACTATTGGTGAAGAAGACAGATACTTTTCAAGAGTGTCTCTGCGGTTTGAACCACTTCTGTTTTCCCGATGTATAATTGGAATTAGAATTTGTCGAGTGGCATTTATTTTTATCCTTTTATATCGTTTCTAGGATGCGTGGAATCATGATTAAATCCTCCCAAGTCGAGTTGCCGAAAGTAAAAGCTTATTCTGAAGGTGACTTTAGTGTCCAATCAGATACTTCCTTAGAGATGTCCCTTGATGGCTGGGATGGCATTGCTCTTGAATATTCTATTGACTGGCCCTTGCAATTATTCTTTACGCAGGAAGTGCTCTCTAAGTAAGCATTAGATTTGCATCCTTTTGAAATTATAGTGGAAAAGTTCGAACTGAGACAACCTCATAAAAACGTTCAATACTAATAAATTATAGTGAAATATCCATCTGTTTTGTTTCTCATTGCATTGCATCAGTTGCAATTGATAAGTGTACAACAATTTGCATGTCCAGGTATCTTAGGATATTCCAGTATTTACTCCGACTTAAGCGGACACAGATGGAATTGGAAAAGTCATGGGCTTCTGCAATGCAACAAGATCACTCTGATTTTGCCAAACGTCATATTGATCGAAAGAACAGTTCAATCTCTCCACAGAGACGGCAGCGGTTTAGACCAATGTGGCGTGTTAGAGAACATATGGCCTTCCTGATCAGAAATCTTCAATTTTATATCCAGGTAACTTGTGGTGGAAATTTTTCCCTTATAACTAGTGAATCAATGCAGATATGTTTCCACGTACGACGGAAACTAGAGGAGAAACATGTCTATGTGCATGTTTCTGTTGGCCAATGACAGAATAAAAAACTGTCAGCTATTTAATTTTGGCATTTTGGCCCGTATGGTTCACAGAAAAGCTTTTCCACCTAAAATCCTTAGATAAAGTCCTCAAGAAATCAGGACTTTCTTTTTTGTTGTTACTAAACAAGAGAAAGGAATAAATTACCTAAAGCAATCATTCCTTATTAGGCTATTCTCAAACCAAACTTGACCCTGAAAAATCCAATTCTCTTCCACATCTTGGGATTACCTGTCTTGAACAGGAAACTCATGTATTACAAATTCTGATTATCTACATGCTGGAAATTTCAGTGCACCATGAAGTTAGTAGGAAACTGCTTTCATGTTATGCAGAAGTATTAATGTTTTATAATGTGTAAAGATACAATTAAAGGTCTTGTCTGTATTACACCTGTGAATACTCCACAATGTGGTTACCAATCAACTTCAGTGATATTTCAGTGAAAGTTTTACAATAAATATAACGAGTTAATGACTATTTAGAATTTTAAGGTTACGATTTTCTGATATGCCTAATTTTGATCCTCACATATTTCCTGTTTAAGAGTTCTTCAGATTAACGAATAACCTCTTTTTCAATTTCCCAGGTGGACGTAATAGAATCTCAGTGGAATGTTTTGCAAGGTCACATCCAAAATTCTCATGATTTTACAGAACTGGTTGACTACCATCAAGAGTAAGTAACATGGAAGATTTAATGCTATAAGACTATCTTGTGATATTTTTATGATTTTTCAGTTGTGGCAATTGTTATTTAGTTGATGTTTAACTTTAGATTCTGATTCTAACCTTCCAGGTTTGCTTTGTTTATACAGTTACCAAAAAATAAACTATTTATGAACCCATCCAATCTGGCATACAAACATAAAGCAAATAGGTGCTGTTTTTGTTATGTACTTTTGAGATTTAGTGCTTTCATGTTTGATAGCTGGGAGAATGTTAAAGTTTTGCTAATTTTGTCACTCGTTTAACACTAATACACATATCAAGACACTTCCCTTGGATAACCAGTTTGTATATGCATCTCGAACATGTTTGGCTACGCTTAATAAAAGTTACGCTTCTTTTAAGTAAAAAGTGAAGTTATGTTACATTTGGATATATTGTACTTATTAGTAAATTTAAGCAAATCCGTGTTTGGAGTTGAGATACTTTTAAGCTAAATGAATATGTCAAATTACTAAAATGTTCTCTATATGTTTTCTTCATGCAAGTTGAATCTTGTGACTTTGACGTGTTTAGAGGATATTTTAGTCTTTTTTTGGTCAACCCTTAAAATAAGCACCTGTCTTCTTCCACAGTAAGGTTTGGGCAGTTTTTGTAGCCAGTTTTTAAGCTCATTTTGACTTTAAAAAAAAGCCACTTATTTTTTAACTTGATGTGTTTTGGTAAAAATAAGATGCTTAAAAGGATAAGCTCAGCCAAACATGCTCCTTGTCTTGTTGCCATCAAATATAACACGTGATGTCCTTTTATTTAATTGTGTTATTTCATTCAGTAATTAACCTGGGCTGTTATGATTATCCAAAAAAAAGTAGCATGCATCTGTGAAGTTGTATGGAAAAGTTCATGGTGAGCTCTGAAGTCTGATTTTGATGTATAAATTGCCAAGAGATCGAAAATCGGATCTAGTTTAAACATGGGCTCTCTAACATATTGTAATTTCTACTTTATTTCTGTGATATCCTGAGTTTGGAAAAGTTACTGACGATCATGTGCATCAAGTATTGGGTCTGTTCTCCCTTGCTTGACTGTAAAAAGAGTAAATGGGACTGTCATTTATTGATTATAAGCCTGCAGGTACTTATCTGCATTAATTTCACAATCTTTCTTGGACATTGGTTCTGTGTCTCGGATTCTGGACGGCATTATGAAGCTTTGCTTGCAATTTTGCTGGAAGATTGAGAACCAAGAAAGCAGTGAAAGTACTGCTGAACTGGAGCGCATAGCTGAGGTACTTCCTGCAATATTCTATTTGTAACTGTGTTCGGCTTATAGTAGGTATATGGAAATTTATTTGAATCTGCAGAAACAAGAATTTCACTTAGTCATACATTTTGGGCTTTTGGGAGATGCCTTGTACCTGTTTCCTGGTTGTCAATTATCAAGAATTCACACATTTAGTCCTGGCAAAACTTGGAAAAGTTGTCTAAACAACATAACAACATGCTAGCTGTTTACGGTTGTTCAATACAATTTCTTTGAAAGAGCAGCTAGCTTAAAAAATGAGCTGCTAAATAAGTTGGTTAAGTACTCTCTAGTTTGATCCTAAAAAATTGACTAATGTACCATCGTTTATTTTTTAGAGATCCATATATGACACCTCGTATGAGCAATACCATGCTATCCCTGCATTCTTGCACTGCACTACAAGCTTCTTAGCCTTCCTGTCACCTCAACCCTATTGCCTGCCTCCAACTTCCTAAGCTGCTAAACTGGTATCTTTCTTTTAGTTCCACTGTTGCATCCCTCGTGTCAATCTTTACCCATCAGTTCACACCTCATACCCAGATGATTACCTATGTGCACAGCACACAACCACATATACTACCATGCCATCACAATATCGAAGTACACATTCTTGGACCTTCACTCTTGTTTCTTTCTGTTCACTATCCTAAATTGGAGATGCAAGAGTCATCATTAATCATATTCCACTTTGTTAGTAGCCCAATCAAAGACTCTGGTATGCAAACTTAAAATGAGGAGAAAAGTGAGTATAAAATGGCAGAAAACTGAGATTCGAGGACCAGAAATCTTTAAAGATGGTCATGAGTGATCACCTGGGAGAACAGAGAATTGGGTGGTCTTCTGGTTTTTTTGGTAGGACAAAGAAAAAGACACGAGGGGATCTTTATTCTTCTAAATAATAAACTAGGACTTGACCCTATTTTTAATAAGGTGTTAACAACATTTGATGTACTGAAATTTGAAAATTTTAAATCTAAATAACATTGAATGTGCTGGAAAACATGTCTAGATATAAATTTGGAATATTCTTTTTGGTATTTAGACATTATACAGTACTTATCAAGACCTCTTTATACAAAGACGAAAATAACTTTCAGCATTAGTATTTTTTATCCAAACAGATGGTCACTTTTATGTCAAAACGAATTCGTCAAGCTTACAAGCATTAAGAAGAGCTTACAAGATTTTAATAATTTAATTTTTATGATTAAGGCAAACGTGCTCATCACAGTTATTCTCCATGTTCGAGATTTTTTGGCTAAACTAATAATTCTATTTACTATCTTTTATCAAATCATATGAATTGTAATTATATCTTTCATTTGATTCCCACAGGAATTCAACAAGAATTCAAATTCGTTATATACCATACTCCGCAGTAGCAGGATTGCTGGGAGTCAGAGAGCCCCATTTCTTAGGCGCTTTCTTTTGCGTCTCAACTTCAACTCTTTCTTTGAGGTGAATTGGAAGTGTCATACACAATCTAGTCCATCCCAATAATTATGTTTTGAGTAATGCTATTTAGCCACACTGGGGTTGCAACTTCAGTGGCGCTAATTTAGTATTAAATGATAAGTGGAATTAAAAGAGTTTTACATTTCATTTAACCTATCATTTAGCGTCACCTAAACTAGGTGCATTACTTCTATGTTTTAATCTCCTTGCATTCTTGTTAGCAGACAACTGCTAGAGGGGTGCTGAATGTTGTGAGACCTCGCCCAACACTTGCAATTCAGCAATGAAGACAGCATCTATTCTACCTACCAACTCTTGCAAGGTCTTCCCGGTTTTATTTATTGAATTGTGGACAAATAGAATATTCTGATACATGGATAATTTTTTTATTTTTTTGAACTTGAATGATCCTTTTTGATGCATAGAGATTAGATTCCATGATGATCTATCCTGAAAACCATTCAAATTCGGTTTGTCAAATTTCGATGGTCAACTTACCAGAATTCTAATGTTTGAAAAATGCACTGCACTCGACTACTAAGATCTATGATCGAGACTAATGTGTTCTATCTTGTTCTTCAGGAAATATCCAAGATGGTTTTGATTGTTAGGGTTGTGTGTATAAACTAGGATTTCAGGTGTGTGCTCTAGCAGCCTGTTTTGGAGATCAAGTCAATTTCTAGATTATTGCTTGATGATCATGCGTGGTTGATCAGACTGTGGAAGTCTGTTGAAGAGTTAAAAAGTATATGATCCTCCTTGATACCCAACAGGCATCAGCGTCAAGTATTACTCAAAATAAAATTTAGTTTTTTTTTTTTTAATATCTGTGATATAATATTTTGATTCATTTATTTTTCCTAACTGGTTCAATCCTATTCTGATCTTTTAACTCTTTTTGGGAACATGCACAAGTCAATTTTAATATTATGGGTCTTATGAAATGTGTAAATAAAAAGTTTATTTGACCATCTGAAATGAAAATTTAAGGTTGGCCAAACACGCATCTTTTGAGCCGTACAGGCTGCTGTTTTCCTGGGGCTAAATTTTGTCAGTTATTTCATTTGTACAGAAAATTATTCTATAGAATCACCCCAGAAATGTCACATTGTACAGATCCCATGTTGTGATAAAAAAAATGCCAAAATATCATCCAACCACCCTACTGTGTCTTATTTGTTGGCATTCGAAATGCAATTTTGTACTTGCATGATTGCTCATTTTTTGTTCATAGGTGTGAGAAAGACGAATTTGTACAACATTTGAGGCACCAATCATGCTATAAATGGAAAACTGACCCCAAAAAATAAAACATATATATAGATACATACATACATACACACACACACATTCACCCTCATCACGGAAGAAAATATACATTAGAACTCGTAAATCATTTTTCCATACCCAAGAATCAATCCAAATACAAATTGGGAAAGATATTGGCTATGCATTTATCCTATAAAAGCGTCTTGCATAAATCTAACAGTGATGCGATCTTACTAGAAAAGGTTAGAAGAGGGAGAGGTGGTGCAGAACTGATATTGCCTATTAGTGGCTGAAGATCTTATTATTAGATACTGAAAATACTGAATGCGAAAAATATTCATATAGCAACTAAAGTTATATAGAATAATTTAATATGTTCCTCTTGTGTCGCTGATAGGCCCCCTATTCGGTTAACCTATGCTAGAAGAAAGAAGAGCAATGATCATAAAGGTTCAGCCAAGTCAGTTGAGTTTGTTAGTGAGGGGTAAAAATGTAATAATTTGTTATAGGAAAGTAAATAAATAGGGAGGGTCAGTAGGCGGGAGAGGCATGAAAAATCTGATTTTCTGTTGAGAGTAGGAAGGATAGACAGGGCCTCTCAAATAGTCCTGGACTTGTATTTTTTCTGTTTTCCTTCACCTGAATTGGGTAATAAATCATTCATTTCACTACATTTGTGAGTTACTTGCGGTCTAAGCAGGTGGGATTCTACCAGTCGCCCATCAGAAATATCCATGTTAAAATGAATCACCGAAAATGTGCTCTGGAAACAACAATTAAAACTAGTTCGATCTGTATGCCCTTTGGATGCCTTGTCGATTTTCATGTATTAATATTACGTTGTTTAGGAGTTTATTCTTCGAGGTTGTTCTGGAGGCAGTCTTTTCATTTTAACTTACCTTTCCTCCTCAATCTAGCTCGGTGTATCTGACTGAGTCTTGTTGCATGTGATTTATCTGTGTAAATGTAGATGTTAATGAATTCTAACTGTACTAAGGAATTTGTTTGCTGCACTGGTAGGAAGGTTAGTTTGCTTCTTTAGGAATCTATTGCTAAAATGGCATTCTTTGTTTTTTTTTCCAGTACTTTTATATTTTCCCATGATCGCGTTCTTTAGGGGTATCTAGTTTTATTCTCAACTAACTTGGAACATCTGTCCCAGTTCTTTGTTCTGTTACCACCGCTTTACGAGCTCATTCTGGAGATTGAACGTGATGGTATATGTGGTGGGAGACTTCTCAATATTTTGCACAAACGATGTCATTGTGGAGTTCCCGAATTGCAGACATGCATCCAGCGGTATGCATTGCTCATCCTTTTTCATTGAGTTCATACCTATTTTCTTTCTTCCACTGACTGATTTTGTACTCAATTATTTTAAGTCACATATCTGATGTAGAAACTTTAGGAATTTATGAGAATTGTATAGCCTTTTCCATGGTATTTTAGTACATAAGAGAAGGTGGTCTGTAAAAAAAACCAAAAGCTAGGAGATGTTTCCAAGTAAAAAAATGTGTCAATCAGGATCAGTGGAAGCGGTCCATTTGTGCTTTTTTTGTACTAATTACGTATCTTCTTATATTAGATGAAATATAGATACTAGCCTGCAAGTAAGTTTTATAGGTCCTGCACGTATCGCCATTGAAACATGCACCTGTTCCTGAAATAAATCAATCTATATTTTTGGGTTGTTAAAATCTGACACAAATGAGGGTCCATCAATTTATGGATCACTAAATTTTTACATAAAACATCACAAATTGAACTTAGTTTTTCAAAAAATAAGCGTCTTTAGCAGATGCATCTGTGGTCATGTTTATTCGTCTTTATCTACAGTGTACAATCAGAGGATTCTGCCATATGTAAAATTTGTTAGATCTCTATGGGGATAAATTGGCCCTTTGTTAGCATATTTAGTTGGACCGGAAAGAGGAGTTTATTCAGAATATTTATGCTTGAGCGAATGGTTTGCTTTAGTAGTTTGATATGCATAAAAGTGTAATTCTTTCCTTCTTTTAGCTGGAAACCTGTCCTGATAAGGAATTTTCTTGAACAATTAACAGTTGTAGTTGCATTTTATCTTGCTGGACAAAGCAATATGACCATGAAATGTTTGTTATTTACTTAATCTGGGCAGAAGATTTCCTTTTGACTTGGATTAATAACAAGTATAAATCTTTCCTCCTTGAGCAGGCTTCTATGGCATGGACATCAGGTCATGTACAATCAACTTGCATCTTGGATGGTTTATGGGATTCTTCACGACCAGCATGGAGAATTTTTCATTAGCAGGTATAGGTTTCTGAGTTCTTTACTGTTTTTGTCTTCTTTTCAAATTTGTTTGAATGTTGGAGCTGCATATATCTAGAAATTTAAATAATTTCATTTTATTTCCAGGCAAGAGGATAGAGATTCAGAACATGACTCACCTTCAGACTCACTTGAGAAGTTGGCTCGCATGTCAACCGAAGACATATCTCTAACTGATTGGCACTTGGGATTCCATATCTCACTGGTATATTAATTTTATTTTCTACTGTTGCTTTCCGATTCTTCTTGTCACATTCGATTATGTTTGATGTTACTATTATTATGGGTCTATCCATTCAGGATTCTATGGCTGTATTACTCCGGTTACTAATATGATGTAATTTTTCTGTCTAAATCTTAACTTACTCTTTATCTTGGTCTTTATTCAATAACAACCTTTATCTATATCAAATGACGAGCTTTTCATTGAAAATCTGGAGTGGAATAAATTTCATCAATACCATGCATCTCATGATTTTTTATCAAGAAGAGATTTTGCATGGTGTTCGAGGTCACCTCACTTTTGGAATTCTGGGTCAAAATTATCATTTTTTTTTTCATGTTTTTTATCATCTTTAATTTCTGACACTACTTATACTAATTATAGAGAAGTAGAAGGATTCAGAGACTTGAAGATATAGCCTCAATCTTATCATTGGACAAATTTACTTTTGATGTGATTTCCGTCACACAAAGACTATAAGCGTAGCTTGGATAGACTTAGCGTACTTAGCTTTTATTGATACGGCCAATAGGTTGCTCACTCTTTGCCCCCTGTTGATATTGATGGAGAAATAAATATAGTTTAGATAAGATTTCAAAATAGAGTTTAATTCCAATTATGAATGTTTAATTAGATTATTTTGATAAAGTTTTAGTCTAACAGAAGTTCGTTTGATTTTAGCTTCTTTCTAATAGAGGGCTTATTTATTGTAATAGACCCATGATTATATGAATAAAACTATTTTTTCTTTGCCCTCAATTCTTCTCTTGTTGGACCCCCTTTCTCTTCTTGTTCTGCAATTATTCGTTGTCAAATTAATACACTCCCGGATTAGATATATTTCTTTTCTTGTTAGATCAAACAAAATAAATAAATAAATAAATACGTTGGCAATTTCAGAAATGAAGCCAAGGATGATTTTTGGCTTATTGGTAATCATCTTTGAGTCATTACTTGACATTTGTTATCACTTCAATTTTCCAAATAGAAACTATTACACTTTCATTTACTTCATTCTGCAGGATATGCTTCCAGAATACATTCCAATGCAGGTTGCTGAATCCATTCTGTTTGCTGGGAAAGCTATCAGGGTTCTTAGAAATCCAAGTCCAACCTTCAAGTTTCATGATGCACCATCTCATCAGCAGATTCCTAGAGGATCACAAAAGATACAAGGATTTAATGGACGTTTTTCTTTCCAAAGGGACTCTTCTGTCTGTACCACGTTGATTGCTGAAGAGTTACTTCCACAATCTGAGGCTGACAAGATTGAGTCTATGCTTCAAGACTTGAAGGTTTTCATTATCAGCTAAACATAACCATTAGTGTATATATTGTCTGTCATTTAGTTAGTAATATTTGTATAAGGTTTGTCATTATGGCACATGTAAGTCGAAATGCAGTTTACCCATTTGTTGATTTATTCTCTTTTCCCAAGTATTTAAGCCCTTATCATTGTGAATTTGTGTTATTAACATTCATTAATTTCCTTTCTGGAATGACTCAGTTATTTAGTTGTGTGCAGGAGTCATCCGAATTCCATAAGAGATCATTTGAGACTGCTGTTGCCTCAGTAAAAGCAATTGCAGCAAGTCATCTTTGGCAGGTGACAAATGCGAAAAGATAATGTTCTTGGCTTTTGGTCTTTAAAGAAAATTCATTTATAAATTCTTGTCATCTTTGCAGCTTGTGGTTGTACGTGCTGACTTGAATGGCCACTTGAAGGCTCTTAAAGATTATTTTCTCTTAGCAAAAGGCGATTTTTTTCAGGCATGGATAAATGACATGTCACGTACTTTTATTAGCTTTGTTAATTAGTTTTGATCTCTTCGAAACAGTTCGCATCATAAACGCGTGTTTTTATTTCTAATAAATCTTAAGCTACTTGGTCACGTCCATGGAGACTTTCATTCTTTGATGCCTTTAGGATACACAATTTGTCTTGCAATCTATCAAGATAAAAAGTATTTTCTGTCTCCTTGCAAACATTTTTTCTGAGAGAAGGTTTTTGCTACAGGGGTTGAGATACCCATTACTTCATAAAATGTGCAAGGAAATATGTTTCATGAAGTATCCTTAATTTAGATATACAAAAAAAGGAAAAAAAAATTTGTTAAATTAGAACGAACATTTTGTACATGCCTCTGCAATATATTGTAGTGATGAGTTATGGTGAGTGATTGAACATGCATTGAAAGATGATGTTAAATGACAGAGTTTTCTCGAGGAGAGTCGGCAGCTTATGCGTTTACCACCTCGCCAGTCAACTGCTGAAGCCGATCTGATGGTTCCTTTTCAACAGGTAACATTTAGTGATTGTCACAATTGGCAAAGGAAAATATTTTTAATAGTACCCTCCAGTCAGTTTACAATGAAATATTTCTCTATGTCATCTTGTAAGTAGTGTGTAGCCTTACTGTTTTCTGTCTGGAGAAGATTTGGAAAACCATTTCTCGTTATGCCTCTTTTTCCTTCCACTACCACAGTTTGGTATAAAATAAATATTAGGGCCCATTTTTGTTTTTTTTTTCCTTTCTTTGCTGACATTGCATATATTCCAGAAGTTATACTACAATTGAAACTAGTATGTCTGATTCAGGCTGCTATAAAGACTATTGGTGAAGAAGACAGATACTTTTCAAGAGTGTCTCTGCGGTTTGAACCACTTCTGTTTTCCCGATGTATAATTGGAATTAGAATTTGTCGAGTGGCATTTATTTTTATCCTTTTATATCGTTTCTAGGATGCGTGGAATCATGATTAAATCCTCCCAAGTCGAGTTGCCGAAAGTAAAAGCTTATTCTGAAGGTGACTTTAGTGTCCAATCAGATACTTCCTTAGAGATGTCCCTTGATGGCTGGGATGGCATTGCTCTTGAATATTCTATTGACTGGCCCTTGCAATTATTCTTTACGCAGGAAGTGCTCTCTAAGTAAGCATTAGATTTGCATCCTTTTGAAATTATAGTGGAAAAGTTCGAACTGAGACAACCTCATAAAAACGTTCAATACTAATAAATTATAGTGAAATATCCATCTGTTTTGTTTCTCATTGCATTGCATCAGTTGCAATTGATAAGTGTACAACAATTTGCATGTCCAGGTATCTTAGGATATTCCAGTATTTACTCCGACTTAAGCGGACACAGATGGAATTGGAAAAGTCATGGGCTTCTGCAATGCAACAAGATCACTCTGATTTTGCCAAACGTCATATTGATCGAAAGAACAGTTCAATCTCTCCACAGAGACGGCAGCGGTTTAGACCAATGTGGCGTGTTAGAGAACATATGGCCTTCCTGATCAGAAATCTTCAATTTTATATCCAGGTAACTTGTAGTGGAAATTTTTCCCTTATAACTAGTGAATCAATGCAGATATGTTTCCACGTACGACGGAAACTAGAGGAGAAACATGTCTATGTGCATGTTTCTGTTGGCCAATGACAGAATAAAAAACTGTCAGCTATTTAATTTTGGCATTTTGGCCCGTATGGTTCACAGAAAAGCTTTTCCACCTAAAATCCTTAGATAAAGTCCTCAAGAAATCAGGACTTTCTTTTTTGTTGTTACTAAACAAGAGAAAGGAATAAATTACCTAAAGCAATCATTCCATATTAGGCTATTCTCAAACCAAACTTGACCCTGAAAAATCCAATTCTCTTCCACATCTTGGGATTACCTGTCTTGAACAGGAAACTCATGTATTACAAATTCTGATTATCTACATGCTGGAAATTTCAGTGCACCATGAAGTTAGTAGGAAACTGCTTTCATGTTATGCAGAAGTATTAATGTTTTATAATGTGTAAAGATACAATTAAAGGTCTTGTCTGTATTACACCTGTGAATACTCCACAATGTGGTTACCAATCAACTTCAGTGATATTTCAGTGAAAGTTTTACAATAAATATAACGAGTTAATGACTATTTAGAATTTTAAGGTTACGATTTTCTGATATGCCTAATTTTGATCCTCACATATTTCCTGTTTAAGAGTTCTTCAGATTAACGAATAACCTCTTTTTCAATTTCCCAGGTGGACGTAATAGAATCTCAGTGGAATGTTTTGCAAGGTCACATCCAAAATTCTCATGATTTTACAGAACTGGTTGACTACCATCAAGAGTAAGTAACATGGAAGATTTAATGCTATAAGACTATCTTGTGATATTTTTATGATTTTTCAGTTGTGGCAATTGTTATTTAGTTGATGTTTAACTTTAGATTCTGATTCTAACCTTCCAGGTTTGCTTTGTTTATACAGTTACCAAAAAATAAACTATTTATGAACCCATCCAATCTGGCATACAAACATAAAGCAAATAGGTGCTGTTTTTGTTATGTACTTTTGAGATTTAGTGCTTTCATGTTTGATAGCTGGGAGAATGTTAAAGTTTTGCTAATTTTGTCACTCGTTTAACACTAATACACATATCAAGACACTTCCCTTGGATAACCAGTTTGTATATGCATCTCGAACATGTTTGGCTACGCTTAATAAAAGTTACGCTTCTTTTAAGTAAAAAGTGAAGTTATGTTACATTTGGATATATTGTACTTATTAGTAAATTTAAGCAAATCCGTGTTTGGAGTTGAGATACTTTTAAGCTAAATGAATATGTCAAATTACTAAAATGTTCTCTATATGTTTTCTTCATGCAAGTTGAATCTTGTGACTTTGACGTGTTTAGAGGATATTTTAGTCTTTTTTTGGTCAACCCTTAAAATAAGCACCTGTCTTCTTCCACAGTAAGGTTTGGGCAGTTTTTGTAGCCAGTTTTTAAGCTCATTTTGACTTTAAAAAAAAGCCACTTATTTTTTAACTTGATGTGTTTTGGTAAAAATAAGATGCTTAAAAGGATAAGCTCAGCCAAACATGCTCCTTGTCTTGTTGCCATCAAATATAACACGTGATGTCCTTTTATTTAATTGTGTTATTTCATTCAGTAATTAACCTGGGCTGTTATGATTATCCAAAAAAAAGTAGCATGCATCTGTGAAGTTGTATGGAAAAGTTCATGGTGAGCTCTGAAGTCTGATTTTGATGTATAAATTGCCAAGAGATCGAAAATCGGATCTAGTTTAAACATGGGCTCTCTAACATATTGTAATTTCTACTTTATTTCTGTGATATCCTGAGTTTGGAAAAGTTACTGACGATCATGTGCATCAAGTATTGGGTCTGTTCTCCCTTGCTTGACTGTAAAAAGAGTAAATGGGACTGTCATTTATTGATTATAAGCCTGCAGGTACTTATCTGCATTAATTTCACAATCTTTCTTGGACATTGGTTCTGTGTCTCGGATTCTGGACGGCATTATGAAGCTTTGCTTGCAATTTTGCTGGAAGATTGAGAACCAAGAAAGCAGTGAAAGTACTGCTGAACTGGAGCGCATAGCTGAGGTACTTCCTGCAATATTCTATTTGTAACTGTGTTCGGCTTATAGTAGGTATATGGAAATTTATTTGAATCTGCAGAAACAAGAATTTCACTTAGTCATACATTTTGGGCTTTTGGGAGATGCCTTGTACCTGTTTCCTGGTTGTCAATTATCAAGAATTCACACATTTAGTCCTGGCAAAACTTGGAAAAGTTGTCTAAACAACATAACAACATGCTAGCTGTTTACGGTTGTTCAATACAATTTCTTTGAAAGAGCAGCTAGCTTAAAAAATGAGCTGCTAAATAAGTTGGTTAAGTACTCTCTAGTTTGATCCTAAAAAATTGACTAATGTACCATCGTTTATTTTTTAGAGATCCATATATGACACCTCGTATGAACAATACCATGCTCTCCCTGCATTCTTGCACTGCACTACAAGCTTCTTAGCCTTCCTGTCACCTCAACCCTATTGCCTGCCTCCAACTTCCTAAGCTGCTAAACTGGTATCTTTCTTTTAGTTCCACTGTTGCATCCCTCGTGTCAATCTTTACCCATCAGTTCACACCTCATACCCAGATGATTACCTATGTGCACAGCACACAACCACATATACTACCATGCCATCACAATATCGAAGTACACATTCTTGGACCTTCACTCTTGTTTCTTTCTGTTCACTATCCTAAATTGGAGATGCAAGAGTCATCATTAATCATATTCCACTTTGTTAGTAGCCCAATCAAAGACTCTGGTGTGCAAACTTAAAATGAGGAGAAAAGTGAGTATAAAATGGCAGAAAACTGAGATTCGAGGACCAGAAATCTTTAAAGATGGTCATGAGTGATCACCTGGGAGAACAGAGAATTGGGTGGTCTTCTGGTTTTTTTGGTAGGACAAAGAAAAAGACACGAGGGGATCTTTATTCTTCTAAATAATAAACTAGGACTTGACCCTATTTTTAATAAGGTGTTAACAACATTTGATGTACTGAAATTTGAAAATTTTAAATCTAAATAACATTGAATGTGCTGGAAAACATGTCTAGATATAAATTTGGAATATTCTTTTTGGTATTTAGACATTATACAGTACTTATCAAGACCTCTTTATACAAAGACGAAAATAACTTTCAGCATTAGTATTTTTTATCCAAACAGATGGTCACTTTTATGTCAAAACGAATTCGTCAAGCTTACAAGCATTAAGAAGAGCTTACAAGATTTTAATAATTTAATTTTTATGATTAAGGCAAACGTGCTCATCACAGTTATTCTCCATGTTCGAGATTTTTTGGCTAAACTAATAATTCTATTTACTATCTTTTATCAAATCATATGAATTGTAATTATATCTTTCATTTGATTCCCACAGGAATTCAACAAGAATTCAAATTCGTTATATACCATACTCCGCAGTAGCAGGATTGCTGGGAGTCAGAGAGCCCCATTTCTTAGGCGCTTTCTTTTGCGTCTCAACTTCAACTCTTTCTTTGAGGTGAATTGGAAGTGTCATACACAATCTAGTCCATCCCAATAATTATGTTTTGAGTAATGCTATTTAGCCACACTGGGGTTGCAACTTCAGTGGCGCTAATTTAGTATTAAATGATAAGTGGAATTAAAAGAGTTTTACATTTCATTTAACCTATCATTTAGCGTCACCTAAACTAGGTGCATTACTTCTATGTTTTAATCTCCTTGCATTCTTGTTAGCAGACAACTGCTAGAGGGGTGCTGAATGTTGTGAGACCTCGCCCAACACTTGCAATTCAGCAATGAAGACAGCATCTATTCTACCTACCAACTCTTGCAAGGTCTTCCCGGTTTTATTTATTGAATTGTGGACAAATAGAATATTCTGATACATGGATAATTTTTTTATTTTTTTGAACTTGAATGATCCTTTTTGATGCATAGAGATTAGATTCCATGATGATCTATCCTGAAAACCATTCAAATTCGGTTTGTCAAATTTCGATGGTCAACTTACCAGAATTCTAATGTTTGAAAAATGCACTGCACTCGACTACTAAGATCTATGATCGAGACTAATGTGTTCTATCTTGTTCTTCAGGAAATATCCAAGATGGTTTTGATTGTTAGGGTTGTGTGTATAAACTAGGATTTCAGGTGTGTGCTCTAGCAGCCTGTTTTGGAGATCAAGTCAATTTCTAGATTATTGCTTGATGATCATGCGTGGTTGATCAGACTGTGGAAGTCTGTTGAAGAGTTAAAAAGTATATGATCCTCCTTGATACCCAACAGGCATCAGCGTCAAGTATTACTCAAAATAAAATTTAGTTTTTTTTTTTTTAATATCTGTGATATAATATTTTGTTTCATTTATTTTTCCTAACTGGTTCAATCCTATTCTGATCTTTTAACTCTTTTTGGGAACATGCACAAGTCAATTTTAATATTATGGGTCTTATGAAATGTGTAAATAAAAAGTTTATTTGACCATCTGAAATGAAAATTTAAGGTTGGCCAAACACGCATCTGTTGAGCCGTACAGGCTGCTGTTTTCCTGGGGCTAAATTTTGTCAGTTATTTCATTTGTACAGAAAATTATTCTATAGAATCACCCCAGAAATGTCACATTGTACAAATCCCATGTTGTGATAAAAAAAATGCCAAAATATCATCCAACCACCCTACTGTGTCTTATTTGTTGGCATTCGAAATGCAATTTTGTACTTGCAGGATTGCTCATTTTTTGTTCATAGGTGTGAGAAAGACGAATTTGTACAACATTTGAGGCACCAATCATGCTATAAATGGAAAACTGACCCCAAAAAATAAAACATATATATAGATACATACATACATACACACACATTCACCCTCATCACGGAAGAAAATATACATTAGAACTCGTAAATCATTTTTCCATACCCAAGAATCAATCCAAATACAAATTGGGAAAGCGTTTTTAGGAGAATACTAATTTGCAGCATGAAAATCCTTTATCTGCTTTTAATGTACATGGAATCCAACTGGAAGAGCTTATCAAAAGCCAGAATCTGCATCATGTGTCTGCTACTTTTTCTTTTTTACTTTCCGATGTACCAAAAGAAGAAAAAAGCGACGACTCCACAATCACAAAATGTAACCCTTAATGGATCGACCATTCTCAAATTTGTTTCTTACGCCGACACCGGTGATGGGCTTTCTGCAATGAGTTCTGACTAACCCTCTCCGTTTTCGAACCAGATTCTGGAAAAATGAAATGAACGCAACTAGTTAGCAGTTAGTTTGATTTTTAAAATATGAATAAACCAGATGTCCTCTACCTATAGTTGCATAAAAAGAGACCCCATCAATACCGATAAGGTAATTGTATTTAAACAAGCTGTTGCACGTTACGCTTTCATTTAAACTAGATTAACAAATCAAATTGGCGCCTATAAAATTAGTGGAAAATGCTTGACCTTAAGTGGCAACAATAGAATTCCTCAGCGTGTAGTTTATTTCAAAAATTCTAACTTCGGGCATCAATATAGTTGAGAAAAAATTAAATTGTGGTCATGTCACATGTACAACCGGGGTTAACAACCACACACATGGGAGGGAGCACATGATAAATAAAAAAATTGTTAGCCCCCTCTTGTGAGAAGGTTGTCAATCCCGATTGTACAACCTGTTAGAAGTGTGATTCAAATAGGAATCTAAATTGCATTAGATTTCTTACCTTTTTTGGAACTCTTTTAGGGGCTAAATTTTATACTATAAATATAAGGCTCCTCTGTCAGTTTTATTAAAGTATCATTGCTATTCAGTTGTAATTCTCCCCATATTTATAAAATTCGTCGTTTCTCTGCTTAATTCATCTTTTACTTTAATCTTGTTCGTGGTATTTTGCAATCTTGTATTATACTTCAAATTGGTATCCATTAAATCTCAATTCTTGCGTTTCGTTTCCACCGGTTCCAACAAGTGGTATCAGAGCGGGGTTGTTGGTGAATTTTTGACCTGAAACTGATCGGAAAATCCTCTAAAAATTACCAGAAAATCAGAAAATGAATCTGTCCAATTTTTCGATTTTCTGCCTGATCTTTTTTTGCGTTTTCTGGTCAACCCAAAAAGAATTTGGATAAACGAACACCACCAGTGGACTCAGCAGGCAGAAACGGTCCAGAAATAGTCACAAGTCGTCGGCGCGTTTTCGACCAGTCGTAGGCGGTGGTAACTCCGACGAGCGAGTAACGGCGCGTGAGGCATTTTCCAGCGACGGTGTCTTCAATCAGTTTTCTCCGGGCGATGAGACGGACCTTGTGGTGGTGTCCAATTTCAATTTTGGGCAAAATTGTGGTTCTGAACTATTTTGCCCCTTGCACGTTCGGTAGTTTTCAGTTTTGGGTATTGCAAGTTGCAAGTTCTTCGTGATTAGATTGAGATTTTTCAGAGATGAATTCGTTGAAGTATGAAATTCCGCTATTGGATCGCAATACAAGATTTTCGTTGTGGCAAGTAAAGGTGAGAGCTGTGTTGACGCAAATGGATCTTGATGATACTTTGTTGGATTTTGATAGGATACCAGCAAGCTTGTCTATGGAGGAGAAACAACAAAAGGATTGGAAGGCTTTAGCGCAAATCCAACTTCATTTATCCAACAATTTGCTGCAAGATATTTTGAAGGAAAAGACAGCGGCTACTTTGTGGCTCAAGCTGGAGCAGTTGTGCATGACAAAGAGTTTGACGAACAAACTAACTCTAAAGTAGAGGTTGTATTCTCATCGCATGGCGGAAGGAAGGTCACTGCAGGACCACCTTGCTATGTTCAAGGAGATCGTTACAGATTTGGAGACGTTGGAGGTAAAATATGATGAAGAGGATCTAACCTTGGTCCTGTGGTGTTCGCCACCCAATTCTTTTTCGTCATTTCGTGATACTATTCTGTATAGTCGTGACACGTTATCCATTGAGGAGATATACGACGCCCTGTTCTCAAAGGAGAAGATGGAGCTGTTGGTTGGATATCCTACATCTAGGAGTGGGGATGCTCTTGTTACTCATGGTGATCGACGGAGGGGTAGATCGAAAGTGAAGTACAGCAATGTGTATTGTTATTATTGCAAGAGGAAATGACACATCAAGAAAGATTGCGACAAGTTGCAAGGTAAAGGTGATTTACATGCAAATCATGCGGGGCAATCAGACTAATATTGCTGAAAATTTTTGTGATGATGGAGATGTGATGTTGGCTGTATCTGACGAGAAATCCAAACCTGAGGAGTGGATTCTGTATTCTGCTTGTTCGTATCATATGTGTCCTAATAGGGTTTTGTTTCAAACATATGAGACGGTAAAGTAAGGTGGAGTTGTCATGGGAAACAATCAATCTTGCCGGGTTGTAGGAATCGGTCGGGTCAGATTAAGGCTACAGGATGGAACAATGAGGACACTTAATCATATTCGCTATGTTCCAGACTTGACAAAGAATCTCATATCACTTAGTACCTTGGATGAAAAAGGGTACAAATTTTCTGGTGGAGGTGGAGTATTGAAGGTTCGAAGGGGTGTCCGGGTTGTACTGGAGGGATGGAAGAAATCCCAATTGTACATCTTGTAGGGGAGCGCAGAACCAGTTCTGAGACATTTGGACAAGTTCAGTACCGTGGTGGACATTCAATTTGGTACAGTACCTCTCGGGTTTGGCTCTGGGTCAGTTAAGAACTTTGCTCAAGGGAGTTTTGGTGATTCCGCTTTGCCACCAATTTTAGCGAGTACACTGTGTTCTTGTAATGCCAATGGACTCATAGAGCGTAGGTATAGTTTTGGAGATGTCTGTAATGCTTTAGAAATCATTGAAGGTGACAATATTGGCAAGGGACCTTTTGATTGTACATTTGGTGTGGTTTCTGCTACAGGGTGTGCTTCGACCCTGTCCAGTGATTGTTAATTCCAAGAGGAATTTTGAGCACCCGGGTTTGGGTTCGGGTGTCGCTTGTGCACGCCGGGCGGGGGAACGTGTTATCGTGGAGAGTTTGGTTATTACGTTGAGGAGATTGGTCAGTTCATTCTGATACAGACGGATTACTTCTCAAGGTGGAGAAATTTTAGAGCTTTGTTCGTTGTACCGGAATTTGAGTCAAGGTGGAGATTGTTAGAAGTGTGACTCAAATAGGAGTTTAAATTGCATTAGATTTCTTACCTTTCTTTGGGCTCTTTTAGGGCTAGATTTTATACTATAAATACATGGCTCCTCTTTCAGTATTGTTTAAGCCATTATTACTGTAATTCTCTTATTTCATTGATTGAATAAAATAACATCGTTTCTCTGCAAGTTCTTTTATTTCTTTACTTAAATCTTGTTCGTGACTTTTCGTGATCTTGTTAATTACTTCAATTATAACAAGTTGTATTCATTAAATCTCAATTCCTGCATTATTGGTCAATCGGTCTCAACACAACCAATAAAATTCATTAAACTAAGGTTCTAAGACCAAATGCGCTGCCAAGACAATCACCTAAACTAAAATTGTAGAGAGATTTCATTTGTGAATCAAATTGAAACTGTTGGATAGAATTGTACTTGGACAGCTAGTTTCACCAACAAACTTTTGACTTTACTGCACTAACAGTTAAAAACGTGTGGCACTAAAAGATAGCACGAAAAAGGATATCTTTCTCAACGTTTCAGAACATGAATCTGGTTTCTTAACAAATTTACACTGTACAAAAGCCGAAACCTAACAATATACTTCAGACTTGAAATATGGAATAAATCTGGTATAAAAATAAAACGTAGAAGACAACAGAACCAAATACACTACCTACCAATATATATGTTATCAAAATAAAATATACCATATACAAAGAAATTGCAGCAAAAATGTAGCCGCTCCCCACCCTGTAGTGCCTATTGCACTTACTATCCTCAACCTTGCATAAAATTATGTTGATTCATCCTCAATAACAGCTCCATAAAAAACCTGCTCTTGAGTAAGCATAAGAAAAGGCAAATTTGCCCTCGACTTTAAAATAAATACAAAACAACTAAAAAGATTTAGAAAGTGAAAAAAGAAAAACGAAAACGCAGAAACTTCATAATCTTCCCAAGCAATATCCTCCAAACCCCCGAAATCCTACCTTTAAACCACTGCAATCGTCCCCTCCCAACCCCATCGCAGCTACTAATTTGAATTTTCTCAAATTCAAGTGAATCAGAAAATATGGGTTTGGTTGGAAATCGGTTCTGGTGAATAGAAGAATTCTTCCTTGGAACCCCAAATCCCCTCTGCCAATCCCACCCTCAACCAAAGTGTTCTGTTGAACCTTGCTCATGGTCCAGCAGCACCCACCACAATCTCAAAATTTGAGCCGTTTAAATAGATCTCGAAAGGTTGAGGGTAGTAATGCCAGGACATAATAGGTGCAAAAATGAGGTATAGGTTGGGGACAACGGCCACAATTACCTGCAACTGCAGAGCTTTCATGCACCAACAAACTATACCGCAATAGCAGCAGACATCTCATTGAAATAGAATGCGAGTAAGTTGTTCATGCTTTACCATATATATTTTGGCTTCTTAACAAATTCTATAATGCACAGTAGCCAAATTCCAACATAGAATAAACTGCCCCAGAACTTTAAAAGTGTGGTCTATCCATAAGCTAAGAGACAGACAAGTAATGAAGCAGAAAGCAACATCAACATGGATGCTAGTATTTGATTGAATAAGTTGTACAACCACCAATGTATATTTTACACTCAAATGCAAGAACATAACAAACCTACAATATCCAAATTTCACCACAACAAAGGGTAGTGAAACTAGAAAATGCCTGATGAGATCAAGCAAAAGGCAGGGCAAACATTGACTGCATTAATTTGAGGACTTATTTGAATTATTTTTACCACTTATCACGTGATACCAAAAGGTATTCACTATGACTTCAATGTGATTTCTGTAGCATTTCCTGTCTTTTGATTAGGTTTTAGCTTATTACATTATCAAGCAATAAGCATCCAATGAACTAACAGCATATATTATACACATCTCACTATCTTGTAGATGGTAATCAGACATTCAAACCTTTTTCCATCAATGATCCAACTATTCAGGCTTAACTACACCGCTATTCTCCATTTCGAAGAAACCTTAATTCCCCAATACAACTCTGGGAAAGACAATTCAACTACAATTTCGCTTATTCTCCTTAATTTGTAATCCCCTACCACAAACTTCTCTTCTTGTATTAGTTTCGATATAAGGTCAAAACTAGTGAATTCTCCGGATAAAATCTTTAACTCCTCTTACGGATATCAACCTTGCATAAGCATAGTTCACACAGGCAAATATCCTACTTCACCTTTATTCTCCTTTAACTGCATTATTTACAAAATTTGGATGCTAACGATCATAGAAGATTCAACGCAGAGATAGACTTAGACACTACAGACTTGATGCAAGTTAACACAAAAATCTCAAGTAAATGAAAAGCCCAAATTCCTGAATAAGTACAAGTTACAAATTAGAAGATACCTTCAAATTCTTCACCCCAAAACAAGAGCCTCGAATCGTCTTCTTCCTCATCAACTTCATCGCCATATCCAAACTCCACATCACCCCGATACCCTGGCTCACTCCCGTATCCAGACTCGTTTCCCTGGTTATCAAACTGACCTAATTGGCCATGCACACTATTCACATTCTCCCTCTCGCCACTCCCATTGCTCTCCCTCTCTCTCCTCGGATTCCTTGCTGCCTCACTCACATCAGATGCCCAATTCGCATCCCCTCCACCGTTCACAAACAGCTCTCCACTCGAATCCGTCCCTCCCGCCACCATAGGGTAATCTGAAGCAGTTCCATACGCCCTCGATGTCCCAACCGAGCAGCACCTCCGGCGAGTCCCGCTCCGATCGCTGCTTCTCCCCGACAGAGACCTCGACCCCCTACGGCGACGCTTCCGAGCAAACCACCGCTTATGAGCGGCCGTAAGTGGCCTATCATCGTCAAAAAGGCTGAGCTTCGACATATCAAGGATGGCACCAATGGAAAACGACGTAGTTCGGTCGGAGCGGCAGGGTCGCTTACCTTGCGGCCCAGTATAACCGGCACCGGAGTAGGGTTTAACAGAATCGGATTCTAGGGTTTTGCCAGTGGGAAGCTGAAAAGGTTTCCAGCTCTGCAACTGGAATGCGCAGGATTCTATTGGGTGCCGTGATTCTAAGGATCCATGTGATATTGCATCATCGTAAATATATTTGCTAATATTCCTGATTCTATCCATTGATTGAAATCTTAATTAGGGAATTTCTGATTTTTGATGAAGAACACGAAGATATTAGATCCACCACAAATTCGTACAACAATGACCCTCAGAATCAATCAAAAATTCATGTGGTAGATCCACCACAAATTTGTACAACAATGACCCCCAGATTTCCAGCAAAAATTCATGTGGTAATGGCCCACACGGGCCACACCCCATTCCTAAACAATTATTTCAATTAAAAACAAAGAGCATTATACCATTCCTTCACGCTCCCATGTTTGACAATCTGTTTTTCAACACACTTTTCTCTCTTTTTCGTAATAAAATAATTCCACATAATTCAAAAGCGATACGACTATTGACATCCACAAATTATATATATATATATATATATTCACTTTTAAAAATATAATTATATTATATTTTTTTATCTTATGTAAATTTACCTAAATGACATATAAAATTATATAAAAATATATCATTCTGACTTCATCCACTAATATTTACCTTCATAAATTCTTTTAAACATTTTTATATTCTTTTAGAGTTTATGTTTAACTAAAATTCTAATAATAATATACCATTTTTGTCTAAAATCATAAGACTCTAATCATAAAATATCCTCTTCAACCGAAACAAAAAGTAAATAAAAATCGACACGTTATTAGATTTATAATTCTTTCATGACATGAAAAACAAAATATTATTTTTTATGCCTTTTTAAGTATTGGTTTGACAGATAAAAATAAATTTTAATACTTGTCCAAATATTCTTACATTACAAAAGGAAACAAACATAAAATTATCAGTCGAAACACAGACAACCAAAATTATGAGTCTAGAAGCAAAATAAAAAATAAAAAATTATTAACATATGATTTGAGGATGATTTGTTTGGTTGATTGAGCAGTATACTCTTTTTAGAATCTTATAAATTCAAGAAAAGTGATTCGCTAACCTTTATAACTAAATATTAAAGTACCGACCTGACAATATAGAGAATGAAAAGTAAGAATAAAAATGTTGATAGTGATTGGATGAATATAGTGATTTTTAAAAAAAAATTTGAAATTGTATTAGGAATATATTTATAGTGGGATGAATATATAAAATTTGTATGGATCTATAATGTTTAAATGAATGAATTTAACAAGGACGATATTGAAATTTGACGTAGATGAAAATAATAATTTTTTAAAATTTTACTAGGGATGTATATAGAGTGGAATGCATATATAAAAACTGTAAATATAAATAGCAGTATCCATTCAAAAAAAAAATCAACTTTTTAATTATGTATTCTTCAAAAATTACTATTTAAAACTCATTCTATTTCAATCTTTCAATGTTGTTATACAGGCAACATAATAGACAATTTTCATTCAACCTCGCCCAAACACCAATCCTCTGACATCGTGTCCTCAATCCTTGGTTAGGATGAAAAAACAACTACAACTAGTGGTGGGCTCGGCTCAACCCTTAACCTCACGAGCTCAGTTCGTGCTCGTGGCTCGTTTTCAATACCTTTAACCATTATCTTTTACAATTTCAAATGAAATTTCAATTCTTAACTTGATTTTGGGCTTGCGAACTCGTCATCTTTTTCCTTTTTTCTGTTAAATAAAGAAAAACACAAATAATGTAATGAAAACATTTTTTAAAAAAAAAATAAAAAAGTGTTAAAAAATACAAATAATTTAATGAATACACTTTTTCTTTTTTTATTTATATCATATTGTAATATTTTTTTATAAAATATAAAATATTTATATAATGAAGACAAATTGTTTTTTGAAATACATTTACAAAAAATATATTTTTTTATTTCTTTTTAAAGTGGATAAAATGTAAACCCTCATATTTTATCCGGGCTTATGATCGGCTACATTAATTTTAAGTAGGCGGAGTTAAAATTTGTACACGGCCAACTTGCTGTAACGTATACAATTTTTTAAAGAGAATTAAATTTAACGATTAAAAAATAAGGAAATTTTGATTAATATAATTAAATCAAATATCACTTACCTGACGACAAGCAATTTTAGCGTATTTATCTTGTAGTCGAAAATGAGCGTCCTGCCAATCCTTTTGCACATTAACGCTTCCAAAATATCTTCTTTCAGTCGGCTCCTGACATCGGTCAAAACCCTTTTACTTGCACTAAAAGCAGACTTTGAAGCAACAATGCTAACCGGAGGTGTCAGCGGATCTTTCGCAATTGTAGAAACAATTTACCAACGTCTTTCATACTTTCGCCAAAATTCAATTACTTCTTCTGAACTTTTTAAATTATTATGTCTGTTGGCATATTATGATTAAAGTAATCAATTAATTCGACAGACATCACATTTGGTGTTGCGGTCGATGTTTGATGAGATACAAATGTAGATGACATGTCATTAGATGAACACATTGCAGTTGCATCATATCTAAATGTATTAATGCCTTGAAATAAATTCATTATTTCGACATTATCTTCTTCAATATCAGCCGAAAGAGTAGGTGCAGAGGATGTCGAACTAACATTCGCACCCATTCTTTCTACATATAAATCATACGTTCCACATAATATTTACTATAAATTCTTATAGGTGATAAGTTTATCAAATATTAAGACTTTATTAATTTGATCAATTGCGTATTTAGTTCTCGAAATATTATATCGGGGCCCATTACCCATGCTAAAGAAAATAACATAGGCAGTTCTTCCCAATATTTTCTAAACTTTAATTCTATAGAAATTATAAATTCACTAAAAGTAGGATCATTTTTATATTTATGGAATGTTCTTGCAATTATATAAAGGCGTTCAAGTACCATACAACTTATTGGATAATAAACGCCTAATAAAATCTTTTGTAGTCTTATAAAAAGATGTCAAAAATCATTTAACTTTCAAAACTAAAACTCAATCGAGTTCATTTAACATACCATCATCATCACTTCTAATGTGTCTATTGTTATAAAAGTCAGTTATTAAATGTTCGAAACCTTCACATGACTTATATAGCAAGTAAGTAGAGTTCCTTGTGTTTGACTAGTTGGAAGAAGTTCATGTCTGGCCCCACATGCTTTGTAGTGGCGGTTGAGATGATTGATACCAAATCCTTTTTACCATGCCAATTTTTATTGGCAGTATTTATATACTGTTTTAGATTCTGTAAGGCCATCGACGACTTTTTCCGTTAAAATCAACTTAAAGTGATCCCAACATTTTGCTTGTTTTTTGCCCTTTCGCTTTCCCCTCGCATCTGGGATGTTTAATTCGATATCTTCGTCCTCGTGTTCCACTTCGTGAATATTAATATAATCCAAATCAATTGAATTGTAGTTTCCCTAATCGTGAATGTGAACATCTTCGTGAATGGGTACGTCATTTAGACCGACAAATTCATTTGAAAATTGACTTTGCGAGTGTCGTAGGCTATTCGCCATGTGGCCCACATCCCGTATCAAATAAACTCTCAACAAATGAGCATTGATCCATTTTGTTTGATTATTTATGTTGAAATCCAAATATAAACTAGAAAAATATAAATGTAGGGAGATTGTGAGAATTGATATTGTAATTGAATAAACTGTAAAAAATGAATCGATATTATATATTTTGGAGTATAATAGAGTAAAAACTCGATAATTAATATAATAAAATAGAGTTGAGAGAGTTGAGAAATGAGAAGTAGCAATTGAGAGAAGATAATTGATATGGAAAAAAAGAGGGAGTTATAGGGTATTTATAGTAGAAGCAAAAAAAAAAAAAAAAATTGTGACCGTCACTGAAAAGTGACCAAAA